AGAAAACGCTGTCCCTAGACACGGGTCTCTCTAAGGGGATCTGTGTGGCTCCGGGGGATACAGGGCCCAGAAGGCACAGCACAACAGCACTGGGCAGGGGGCACCGCGACCTTAGCGGGATGCTGCTTTTAGGTCCTACAACAGCATTGGAAGAGTAACCATGCTGTCTCAACCAAAAATCAGAAAATATAGTCTGCTAAGGAATGTTGGTGCTATTGATGACACAGATATTAGTTCAGATATTAACGTGCTGACATTTCTCGGTTATATGGAGAAATGAACAAAATATTTTAAATAAAAACCCTTTTAGCAAATCCAGGCTGGAGGGTAACTGTATGGCATGGACTGCAAATAGCCAAAGAGATAAAGGTAGGATGTAGGATCCATTTAGGGTACCTGAAGATGGTAGAAATAGTCCAAAGGTATAAGCATGGGAATCATTTCAGCTGGAAGCCATGGGAATCAATCAGGCCTGGAAAGAAAATGATTCTGGTTCTTAAAGCAAAAGGGCTCAGTGGCAGGGCTGGGTTGGGATGGGGGACAGTGTTGGCTTACTGGAACTGGGCCTAAAACTGAAGACGTTCATAACAAGAAGAATGGCCCTAAAAGCCTGGGCCAGAAAGAAAAATGTGTAAAACTGGGCAGTTTCCTTTCCTCAGCTCAGTTTCTTCATCTGTAAGATAAGGCCACCAGAATGAATGATCATGGAAGTCCCTTCCAGATCTCATACTCCTTACTATGACTTTCACATCCTCTGGGGCTGAGTACATTGTTTAGCCCTTGGTTGGTATTTATATCCAGGTCTTCTCAGGGACCAGTGGACTTTCTCCCTCACTGGGGATCCAGTGTCCCCAACTCCTGGCCCATAGGCATCTGGCTATATATATAAGACAAGCAAATGCCTTTCCATATTTCTGAATGCTCAAGCTGTGTCGTCATGCCAGGCGCGGTGGCTCACACTTGTAATCTCAGCACTTTGGGAGGCTGAGGTGGGTGGATCATCTGAGGTCAGGAGTTTGAGACCAGCCTGGCCAGCATGGTGAAATCCCGTCTCTACTAAAAATACAAAAATTAGCCGGGCGTGGTAGTGGACACCTGTAATTCCAGCTACTCGAGAAGCTGAGGCAGAAGAATCACTTGAACCTGGGAGGTGGGCACAGTGGAAGTTGCAGTGAGCTGAGATTGCACCAGTTCACTCCAGCCTGGGCAAAACAGCGAGACACTGACTGTCTCAAAAAAAAAAAGATGTGTCATCATATGGAGATGCAGGGAAGATTCTGGATAACTCTTGATAGGTAACGTCACTGGAAGAGCTTTACCCATTTGGTGGGGTGTTGGACTGGACTGGATGTGGAAGCAGCACTCAGTGGTATATGTGGGTGGGAACATAAGGCAGTTTGCTTGTCGGTATACCAGTAGGTATATCAAAGGTGTAATGTGGCTGCTAACATATTGAATCAAACTTTAGGCTGCAAACATAGATTTAAGTAAAGGAGGTGACAACCCAGTTCTACTTTGAGCCAATCACACAGTGGATGTCTGGAATGTTAGATTTAGTGAACTTTGCTGTCTCAAAAAAATATACATACAAACCAAACTGTGTAGTGAGGAAAGTGAGGGTACTCACTTTCAGTACATCAGTAAGGAACAGGGGCAGATGGGAACCCACAGAACTATCTGAGAGAGGCCATAACTATCCTCAGATATCTGCAAGTCTTGTTATGTAAGAAGAATGAGATGTGCTTTGTAATGCATGTAGAAGCTAGAGGAAAACAGACGTCAACATAAAGCAAAGCAAAAGTTCCTCAATCGAATTGTCCAAAGATGAAATTAAAAACCTTAGAAGTTAGTAAATTCCCTACCCCCTTGGAGAAAGGAGAATGGGATTCATATTTGGTGTGTATCTAGGCACTGAATCACAGTATGTACTTGACATAAATTATCTCATTTAATCCTCATAATAAGCAATGTGAAGATTGGGGTTCAGAGAAGTTAAGTAAGTTGCTTAAGGTCACACAACTACCGCGGATTTTATTGAATACAAAAAGGCCATGTTCTTTCTATACCAACAACCAGCAGCCTCTAGGCAGGGATGTTAGCAGTGAGCACTTAGTCATGACTGCCTTTAAGGTATCAGGCAGTCCCGAGAGCTTCAATTTGTAAGTCACTCAAGTGAAAACAGGAGGAATCAGGATGTGTATTAAGGTGACAGATGAAGGTTTTTTTTTTTTTTTTTAATTTATTTTATTGCATTTTAGGTTTTGGGGTACATGTGAAGAACATGCAGGATTGTTGCATAGGTACACACGTGGCGGTGTGATTTGCTGCCTTCCTCCCCATCACCTATATCTGGCATTTACCAACCCAAATGCCCATCGATAATAGACTGGACAGGGAAAATGTGGCACATATATACCATGGAATATTATGCAGCCATCAAAAATGATGAGTTTGTGTCCTTTGTAGGGACATGGATGAACCTGGAAAGCATCATTTTCAGCAAGCTGACACAAGAGCAGAAGATCAAACACCACATGTTCTCACTTATAGGCGGGTATTGAACAATGAGAGATAGCATGGGGACAGATGAAGGTTTTATTCCTGTGCTAAGCCTGTTAAGTCCAGGAATTAGCACAGGAATAAAACCTTCATCTGTCACCTTAATACAGATGAAGGTCTGAGTCTTTAGCTCACTCAATCTGGATAAAATTTATTCTTCAATTCTCCCATGGTTAAATGCAGTTCTGTAGTTTAAATGAACGTGTGTACACGTGCATATCTGTGTCTGTGTGTGTGTTGTTGTACCACATGATTGTGGGGAGAGGGGCTGTGGGAAAAACACAGGGGAAAAGGCAGTGAGCATGAGAGACTAGGTCTTTATATTGAAATTCTTCCATATTTTTCAAGGCAGTAGTGGCTGAAAATTACCTAAGCAAGTGACTAGGGAACACAGCCAGGAAGGAGGCCTTCTGTAAGTGGGAATTCATGAATAATGAAGACTGATTATATTTCCCTACCTATTTAAAGTATGGTCCAGTTTTTTCTTCTTAATTGACCCCATCTCCCTCCCTCATCCTTCCTCATGACTGCAGAATCATAGGCCCTTGGAATCTTACGCCGACCTGCCCTGTCCTAGGCTTTCTGAACCTTTCAATCTCTCAGCTGCCTTAGCTGCAAAATGGGGGAAATAATACATATCTCATGGGGTTGTTGGGAGATTAAATGAAATAGTCCCTGTCCCCTCCATAGAGCCACCACAGAAGAAGCAAGAAAAGGAGATAGTATAAAGAGTAATTCAATATAGGCCATCTATACAGAGGTGGGCAGCAGCACCTTGCCCTCCTCCACCACCACTATGCCCAGTACCTTGGTCAGGACTGACTTCTCTTGGGCATGGTACTGCATTAGGTAAAGCAAATAAGAAGTAATAGGGCTGGGTGTGGTGGCTTATGCCTGTAATCCCAGCTCTTTGGGATCACCTGAGGTCAGGAGTTCAAGACCAGCCTGGCCAACATGGCAAAACCCTGTCTCAACTGAAAAAAAAAACAAAAAAACCCAAAAATTAGCTGCATGCAGTGGCAGTCATCTGTAATCCCAGCTACTCGGGAGGCTGAGGCAGGAGAATTGTTTGAACCCAGGAGGTGGAGGTTGCAGTGAGCCAAGATTGTACCATTGCACTCCAGCCTGGGAGACAGAGTAAGGCTCTGTCTCAAAAAAAAAAGAAGAAATAATAGGATTATAAATTGCCTCTCTGGGAGAGGCTCATATGCTCCGAAACCCTTCATGCCATTGGAAAATCCTCTAGAAAAAGGAAGGGGATAGGTTATGTTATAATGATTGGTCCATGAGTTTGCTTTTAGTGATTTGTCTTCTCTGTTTTTGAAACCAAATTTGTTTTTTATGCATTGGCGGTGCTACTGCTATAGAAAACACTATTTAGGTTCCTCAAAAAATTAAAAATAGAACTACCATATGACCCCAAAATTCCATATATGCATAAGAATTGAAAGCAGGGTCTTGAAGAGACATTTGCACACACATGTTCATAGTAACATTATTCAGAGTAGCTAGGAGGTGGGAAGCAGGCCAAATGTCCATCGACAAATGAATGAGCAAACAAAATGTGGTGTGTGTGTGTGTGTGTGTGTAATATTATTCATTATCATTATGATCATATCATTACCATTCCTTACAAAGGAAGGAAATCCTGTCATGCTACAACATGAATGAACCTTGAGTGCATCAAGCTAAGTGAAATAAGCCAGTCATAAACAGAGTGTTACTATATAATTCAATTTCTATGAGGTATCTAAAGTAGCCAAATTTATACAAACAGAATGGCAATTGCCAGAGGCTGAGGGGAGAGGGGGAAAGGGGAGTTGTTTAATGGACATGGAGTTTCAGATTCGCAAAATGAAAATTTATAGAGATCTGTTTCACAACAATGTAAATATACTTAACACCACTGAACTGTACACTTAAAAATCAGTAAGATGATAAATTTTATGCTATGTGTTTGCTTGTTTTGAGACGGAATTTCACTCTTGTTGCCCAGGCTGGAGTGCAATGGTGTGATTTTGGCTCATTGCAACCTCCACCTGCCAGGTTCAAGTGATTTCCTGCCTCAGCCTCCCTAGTAGCTGGGATTACAGGTGCTGGCCAGCATGCTCAGCTAAATTTTTGCATTTTTAGTAGAGCCGGGGTTTCACCATGTTGGCCAGGCGGGTCTCAAACTCCTGACCTCAAGTGCATCACCCGCCCTGGTCTCCTAAAGTGCTGGGATTATAGGCATGAGCCACCATGCCAACCTGTTATGTGTTTTTTACCAAATTTTTAAAAAAGAAGAGAAAAAAAGCATTGAGGATCCAAAAAAATCAAACTGGATTGATGCTTAGTCACTAGACACAACATCCTAAGTTCTGTTACTGTGAACTTTGGATTCCTGACCATGCAGGAATCTATATTTAATAAACAATCTTGTTCTGTTTGCCTCTCCATAGGTATTATCCAGGTGACCAAGGGAGTAAAAGAAGTGGCAACACTGTCCTGTGGTCACAATGTTTCTGTTGGAGAGCTGGCACAAACTCGCATCTACTGGCAAAAGGAGAAGAAAATGGTGCTGACTATGATGTCTGGGGACATGAATATATGGCCCAAGTACAAGAACCGGACCATCTTTGATATCACTAATAACCTATCCATTGTGATCCTGGCTCTGCGCCCATCTGATGAGGGCACATACGAGTGTGTTGTTCTGAAGTATGAAAAAGATGCTTTCAAGCGGGAACACCTGGCTGAAGTGATGCTATCGGTCAAAGGTTGGTGGGGTTTTCAGACTTTACTCTAGGCCAGCAGATTCTTAATGCCCTCAAAGACACATGGCTATTGATTTAGGTGAAAACTGTACCAAAGAGGGATGTAATCTCACTTCATTTCTTGGAGTTAAGACTCTAGTTGTACGATAAATCCTAACTGGTTTTTCAAGATGTCATGGTAATATCTGTTAACTTGCATTTCTTCTTCTTTGACAATCCAAGTTCATAACAACCATCCTGGGGCACTGTAATGACCTAAAGAGCCTCTCAATCACCACGGGGATCTTTAATTTGATGTAGCCTTTCTACTAACTGCACTTGAACCAGCAATATATGCCTGTAAAAGCATGCTGAAAATGTAGCAGGGCTGGGCATGGTGGCTTAGACCTGTAATCCCCAAAATTTGGGAGGCCAAGGCAGGAGGATCATTTGAGCCAGGAGTTCAAGATCAGTTTGGGCAACATAGTGAGACCCTGTCTCTACAAAAAATTAAAAAATTAGCCGGGTGCCAGGTGTAGTGGTACATGCCTATAGTCTCAGCTACTTGGGAGGCTAAGGTGGAAGGATGGCTTGAGCCTGGAAGGTCGAGGCTGCAGTGAGCTGGGATCATGTCACTGCACTCTAACCTGGGTGATGGAGCAAGACCTTGTCTTGAAAAAAAAAAAAAAAAAAAATAGAAAACCTAGGCCAGATGCGGTGGCTCATGCCTGTAATCCCAGCACTTTGGGAGGCCCAGGCAGGTGGAACACTTGAGGCCATGAGTTCAAGACCAGCCTGGCCAACATGGTAAAACTCTATCTCTACTAAAAGTACAAAAATGAAAAAAAGAAAATCAATAAAGTGTAGTAGATGAGGTTATAGGCTGAAGGTTGTTGTTGGGACATAGGTTTTTCTGAGTAAAAGACTACTATTTTTTTTTTTTTTTTAAATTTCAACCAGGTATTATATTGGTCTGGCAACTGCAAAATATACAAATTTCTGAAAGGCATCTCCTTTTTGAAAACTAGCATAGCTTCATCCCAGGAAATTAATTCAGACAAATATTTAAACACAGAGAAGTCATAAATTACACATGGAAGGCTCCCAAACCAATTAACAACTAACTTAATCTATACAGCTTTCTATTTTTCAGGCTTCCTTATACATATTAATAAATAAATAGCACATTTGCTATCAAAATAATAAAAAATTGAAATGAATTCAAATAAATTTAATTTATTCAAATAAATTTCAATTATATTTTCAGATGAAAATATCACTAATGTGGTTCACAGTTTTTCTTCTCACCTAAAATAAAGAGCTTTGTCCAGGGTCTCAGAACAGAATAAAGAGAGGGGAAAACCCATCCAGAAATAAATATACAAAGTTAAAAATACTGGTCCTGGGTGTTTTTTTTGGGGGGGTGGTGGTGTTGGTGAGAATCAGTAGAAGCAAAAACTCATGACTACAGTTCAATACCTGCCCCCCACTCAGATGCACACAATGTCTCTTCAAAAGGCAGGTCCCAGGCTTGCAAATTAGGCAGCATTTTCCTTTCTTCAAGATCTCCTCTCCCTGACCAGATTTATGTTCTCTCTCTCCGCATCTAGACCCTTTCCAAATGAAAGTTCTATGTTAGGCAAAGCCTTCTCTATTTTTGTTTTGAGTTTAGGTAGTCAGAGAGGAGAGGGCAATGTTCAAAGGATAAAGCCAGAAAGGAAGACAAGAGAAACCATTCTCAAGAGCAAAGCCACAGGCCCCTTATGTAAAAGACAACCTTTTAAAAAGCACAGAAATGCTAACCACAAATTTAGGGTAGTGATAACCTTAGGTAAGGGAAAGAGAGGGACAGGATACGTGACACCATACCAGCAGATTCACCTAATTTACTGCCAGTGTTTTGTGTGTCAAGTTGGAGAATGGGTTTACAGGTGTTCACTATAGTTTAATAAATAAATAGCTAACATAGAAGAAAGCCACTTGTGTACTTCAAGTAATCAGGAAGAAAGGAAGAAAAGAGGAGAAAAGGAAAGGAAAGAAAGAAAGGCAGGGACAAGAAAAGACAGGCTCTGGTGTCAGACAGATTTGAATTCTGCCATTACTAGTTGGTTATAATTTCTCTAAACCTGTTTGAATACTTATAAAATGGAAATAATACTAGGTTAAATCATGTGAAATTGTTGATCTTTGGCCTTTTTTGATCTACAACTTACCTCTCTAGGGTTTCTATGAAGGCAAAATGAGATAAGGTCCAGAACTAACAAAGAAGAGCTCAGTAAATGTCTATTACTTTCCTCTTCATCTCTTAACAACTGCAAGTTCTCTGGCAACGTTTATTCACACAAAACTACTTCTCCTTTCTCTAATAAGTGCCCTCCTGTCTCCATCAAAAGTGGTAAAGAATTGATATAACTAATTTAAATCAAAGTTAGCCTTTGGATTATATATAACTATTACTGATTAATGGGAAGTTGCAAATTATATCTCATATTATCATTCTTATTTGTTCTGTTTTTTTGAGATGGAGTGCTCTTTTGCCCAGGCTGGAGTGAAGTGGTGTGATCTCAGCTTACTGTAACCTCCAACCCCCGAGTTCAAGTGATTCTCCTGCCTCAGCCTCCTGACTAACTGGATTACAGGCGCCTGCCACTGAACCTGGTTAATTTTTGTATTTTTAGTAGAGACAAGGTTTTGCCATGTTGACTTGACTGGTCTTGAACTCCTGACCTCAGGTGATCCACCTGCCTTGGCTTCCCAAAGTGTTAGGATTACAGGTGTGAGCCACTGCGCCCGGCCTTTATCATGGTCCTATTAAAGCTAGAAAATTATTTAAAAATAAACCTCTACACACATAGGTTTGTAACTATATGTAATCATATATTCTTGTTCTTTCTTTAGCTGACTTCCCTAGACCCAGTATAACTGACTTTGAAATCCCAACTTCTTCTGACATTAGAAGGCTAATTTGCTCAACCTCTGGAGGTTTTCCAGAGCCTCACCTCTCCTGGTTGGAAAATGGAGAAGAATTAAATGCCATCAACACATCAGTTTCCCAAGACCCTGAAACTGAGCTCTATACTATTAGCAGCAAACTGGATTTCAATATGACAACCAACCACAGCTTCATGTGTCTCATTAAGTATGGACATTTAAAAGTGAATCAGACCTTCAACTGGAGAACACGTAAGTGACATTGTTCCGGGGAGTTTCTGCTATAGAGAATCTAAAAAGATAATACAGTCATGTGTCAGTTAATGATGGGGATACATTTTCAGAAATGCATCATTAGGCAATTTTGTCACTGTTGGAACATCACAGTGTACGTTCATAAACCTAGATGGTAGAGCCAACTGCACACCCAGGCTACATGGTACAGCCTAGTGCTCTGAGGCTACACACCTGTACAGCATGTTACTGCACTGAATACACAGGCAGTTGTAACACAGTAAGTATTTGCGCATCTAACCATATGTAAACATAGAAAAGGTACAGTAAAAATACGGTATTATAATTTTATGGAATACCATCATATATGCACTCTGTCGCCCAGCCTGGAGTGCAGTGGTGCAATCTCAGCTCACTGCAACCTGTGCCTCCCGGATTCAAACCATTCTCCTGACTCAGCCTCCTGAGAAGCTGGCATTACAGGTGTGTGCCACTACACCTGGCTAATTTTTTTGTGCTTTTAGTAATATGCCATTTTTATGTGGCATATTACTGTAACTCAGCCAGACACATTTTAGAATTGTCATATTTACTTTGATAGTATTTTATAGTATTTTTAGATACACAAATAACATGTGTTATTATGACTTATTAAAGTCACTGTGAGGCTGGCCACAGTGGCTCATGCCTGTAATCCCAGCACTTTGGGAGGCTGAAGTGGGAGGATCACTTGAGACCAGGAGTTCAAGACCAGCCTGGGAAGCATGAAGAGACACTGTCTCTACAAAAAAAATTAAAAAATTAGCCAGGCTTGGTGGCACACACATGTAGTCCTAGGTACTCAGGAGGCTGAGGTGGGTGGCTCACTTGAGCCCAGGTGTTGAAAGCTGCAGTGAGCTATGATCATGCCCCCCACACTCCAGCCTGGGCAACAGAGTGAGACACTGTCTCTAAAAGGAATAAATAAAACAATTTAAAATAAACTTAAAAAATAAAGTCACTGTGCAAGGTGTGAAGTTACTAATTTTATTTTCTTTTAATAAATATTCTAAAATTTATATATCCTAATAACCACTCTCCATCAAGCATTCATCTTAAAAATTTATTGTAACAATATTGTGATTGAAAGCATTAAAATGTGCCCTTTGAAATTGCCCTTAGGGATTTGGTACTTTTTTTTAGGGCATGCTACCCACATGGTTCCATGGTGCCAAACAATTATTTTTTGTGTGGGTTAATGTGCTTTTTAAGTACTACTGGTTTCGGAACCAAGTCTGTCTTCTCTTGAAGACAATGCCTGAAAAAAGGTCAACTTGGGACAAATATTTTAGCCTACTGGTAGTAAACTTAGAGAATTCCCTTTCCTCAAGAGGTGAAGCCATTTGAAAATATACAATGAAAAAGTTGGGTTTATATGAATATATGCATCATAAGCCTATGATGGCTTAAGATGGCTTACAGGTGAACTCAGATGTTTGAAATATTAATACTTGTTTAAACTGTATGGCTGATCATACAGAGGACCACAGGTCTCTCTCCCTACCCCTAACCCCATTTTCAAGGATAGGTTTTGTGACTGCATAGTAAGAAACAATACACTGAGTTTGATATACAGTTACATATAAGTATATAGCACAATATATAATAGCATGTCTTCTTCATGACTTAACTTATAGTTGAGAATTTATTTTAGATGGTCTAGCAATTCATGCTAGTATATGATTTACTCTAGATCTTTCAGTCTGACAGCAGATTCTTTATTTTCCTCAATGAGATAAAATTTCCTAGGAAAATTAGTTCAAATATAAACCAAACTCTGACATGACTTTATTGATACTCCAAACTTACCCATCTCAGTCATCTTTTATGTATGGTAAAAATTTTATTAAAATGAGGCTTGAATCATAAAGATAGTTTAGGTCTCTATTTTAACTTTCTCGTTATAGTATTATTTAACCAATTTTACATTATTCTGATTGAAGGTAGAAAGCAGTACAGAGTACTGATTATTAAATCAGTAATACTAGCTTGAATTGCATTTTGATTTGGATTTTTCTTTTTCCTTTTTTTTTTTTTGAGAGGGAGTCTCACTCTGTCACCCAGGCTGGAGTGCAGTGGTGCAATCTCAGCTCACTGCAACCTCCGCCTCCCAGGTTCAAACAATTCCCCTGACTCAGCCTCCTGCGTAGCTGGCATTATAGGTGGGTGCCACCATGCCTGGCTAATTTTTCTGTGTTTTTAAGAGAAACGGGGTTTCACTATGTTGGTCAGGCTGGCCTTGAACTCCTGACCTTGTTATCCGCCGGCCTCAGCCTCCCAAAGTGCTGGATTACAGGTATGAGTGACTGCACCTGGCTGACATTATTTATATTAAAATATGGATATATGTGGATGGGGATTGGCAAAATTTTTCTGAATAGAGCCAGATAGTAAATATTTTAAGCTTTGTAGTCACACAGTCTCTGCTGCAACAATTCATCTCTGCTGGTTATAGCACAAAAACAGCCACGGATAAGACATAAATGAATGACATGGCTGTGTTCCAACAAAATTTATTTCTTTGTTTTTGAGACAGACTTTCACTCTTGTTGCCCAGGCTGGTGTGCAATGGCGCAGTCTCGGTTCACTCCAACCCCCACCTCCTGGGTTCAAACGATTCTCCTGCCTCAGCCTCCCAAGTAGCTGGGATTACAGGTGCCTGCCATCATGCCCAGCTAATTTTTGTATTTTTTTGGTAGAGATGGGGTTTCACTACATTGGCCAGGCTGGTCTTGAACTTCTGAATTCAGGTGATCCACTTGCCTTGGCCTCCCAAAGTGCTGGGATTAAAGGCGTGAGCCACCATGACCAGCCACAAAATTTCATTTTTAAAAACAGGTGGCAGGACAGGTTTGGCCCATGTGCTATAGTTTGCCAACTTAAGGGTTTTTGTCTTTGTGATTGGAGAGCTTTAGGGTATAAATATCTCAAATCTCATTAATTGGACTGTGTGGGGATTATTTAGAATAAGAGTCAAAAGCAACTAATGCATTTATGGGATGTCAAGGGCTGACTGCACAAACATACATTAAGTTCGTAGAAATGTTATAGGTCAATGTGAGTACAGCATTGATGTGTAAATGTATCAGCCTGTTTTCATGCTGCTGATAAAGACATACCTGAGACTGGGCAACTTACAAAAGAGGTTTAGACTCATAGTACCACGCAGCTGAGGAGGCCTCACAATTATGGCAGAAGGCAAGAAGGAGCAAGTCATGTCTCACATGGATGGCAGCAGACAAAAAGAGAGCTTGTATGGGGAAACTCCTGTTTATAAAACTATCAGATCTCATGAGACTCATTCACTATCATGAGGACAGCACAGAAAAGACCCTCCCCCATAATTCAGTCACCTCCCACTGGGTTCCTCCCATGACATGTGGGAATTGTGGGAGTTATAATTCAAGATGACATTTGGGTGGGGACACAGCCAAACCACATCAGTAAATAACTGATCTGAAGGAAAAAAAAAAGCCCAAATGTTATTAATTAAGCAGATTGGGCATATGATTCTTTTTAGTGTAGTCCTACCAAATTTGTTTTCCCTTGATAAACTGGAAGGCAATAAATCTAGGAGAGTTGTACTCATGGTATGTAATAAGCTACATGTGCAAATGCCCTCACACAGCTGTGCACCTTGGATTTTGGATCTGCCTCTGTTACCAGGTTTCTAGCAGGTATCACGACAGAGCTGGCTTGATACTACTGAGGTCTCCCTCATTTCATCACACACATACTCTCTCTAGGTTGAACGAGACTTGTGGATGGGTGTGGAGTGGAAGCCAGGAATCAGCTGAAGCCTGTGAAACTTCTAGACTCCTTGGATAACAGCATTGGCTTGTTATTTTTTGTGTCATTCTAGTCTGTAGAGGTCAGCTCTGGTAATCACTTAACATCTCCATGCAATCTTGTGTTTTAAGAGAAAAAAGAAAAACCAATTCTCCCTAGTCTTTAAGTGGTAGGTACACTATGATAAAATATGTGTTTTAGAATGATTACTGTGATAGCAATGTGCAGGAGTTAGTAGAGCCTAGGAAACCTGAAGCAAAGAGACCAGTTTGTAGGCTATTAAGTGGGAGATGAGAAAAATCTCAACTAAGGCAGTTGCTGCAAGAGATTTGGGAAAAAGCAGTAAGTTCCAGAGATATTATGAATATAGAACAGAAAATACATGGGAGCCTACTGGGAAATGAGCACAAAAAAAATACCACAGTCTTACTTGGGTAACTAAATGGTATTGTTATTAACTGAAATGGGAGATACAGGTGGTAGATATGATTTGGAAAACATGTAGTAAATTCAGCTTTAATCTGGTGGAGATGCTGGCATCCATCCAATATACAAATTTAGAAATCAGATGACATTTCCTTTTTTTTTTTCCTTTTCCTTTTTTTGAGATAGAGTATCACTCTGTCACCCAGGCTAGAGTGCAGCGGTGTGATCTCAGCTCATTGCAACCTCTACCTCCCTAGTTTAAGCAATTCTCCTGCTTCAGCCTCGTGAGTAGCTGGGATTGTAGGCACACACCACCATGCCCTGATAATTTTTTGTACTTTTAGTAGAGATGGAGTTTCACCATGTTGGCCAGGCTGGTCTTGAACTCCTGATCTCAGGTGATCCGCCCAGCTTGGCCTCCCAAAGTGCCAGAATTACAGGTGTGAACCATTGTGCCTGGCCTCAAATGGCATTTCAAGTCTCGGGTGTGGAGGATATCACCTAGGAAGCCTGGGACCAGTGAGGGCCAAATGGGACCACAAACAGAACCATGGGAACAACAATAATTAGAGGACAAAAAAAGGAAGAAAAGCCTTCAGAGAAAACTGAATGCAACAAACAGAAACAGAAGGATACGGTAACATAGAAGTCCAAGGAGAAGCGTCCAACTAGCCAAATGCTGATGAGAAGTCCAACAAGCAAAAGAATAAAACTAGACCAGGCATAGTGGCTCATGCCTGTAATCCCAGCAATTTGGGAGACTGAGGTGGGTGGATCACCTGGGTCAGGAGTTCAAGACCAGCCTGACCAACATGGGGAAATCCCATCTTTACTAATACAAAAATTAGCCGGGCGTGGTGGCATGCCCCTGTAATCCTAGCTACTTGGGAAGCTGAGGCAGGAGGACTGCTTGAACTCAGGAGGCAGAGGTTGTAATGAGCCGAGATTGCACCACTGCATTCCAGCCTGGCCTGGGCAACAAAGTGAGACTCCATATCTAAATAAATAAATAAATAAATAAATAAATAAATAAATAAATAAAACCAATAGGTTTAATAATCAGAAAAGTAAAAACAATAAGTTGGTAAATATTCACTTATTTGTAAGCCATTTAAGAGAAACTAGAAGATGAGCTGCTATAATTTATGTCCCTGCCCCTTTTCCAGATGTTGCTGCTAACTATTCCTCAAAGCAGCTGAAGAATAAATAGTGTAGCTGCTGCTCCTAATCTGGAGGGATGAACCAGCAGCACCATATCCACCAACATCCTTCTCCTCCCCACCCTCATCCTTCCTCGGGTACTTCTTGTGCTCTCTGTGGGACTGAAGCTACAGCTGATAACCTTCAGGGCTCTCTTCTAGGATGGTCCCACCTAATACCAAGCCATATCCACACTTAGTTTTTTGCCAGACTTGTTCTGTATTTCCAGTAGCTCTAGGCTAGAGGGTGAAAAACCTGTATCTGAAAGTGAATACAAAGTGGCTCCTGTAGCTTTAGGGCAGCTATTGTGAGGAAAGGGTGTGTGTGTCTGTGTGGAGACAGAATATGCTAAGACAAAGGAAGACGGCATGACAGAGCTAGAGACAGAAAAATAAAGTATACCTAGAACACAACATCAATCAATTAGTAGTAATACATAGTTATAATCAGCTATAAAAGTGAAGTATGTCAAGACGGTTTTTAAAATACTTTCTTAGAGTCTTCCTTATGTCTATTTAATTCAGTAAATGCAGACATTCAAAGTGTCTTTTTCAGTTTTAATATATCTGACATCTGAATATTAGTTGCCCACAAGTATGCGCCTGATTGAAGAATTATGCAAGAAAAATGCTAGCAGCTGCATACTGGAGAGCTTACCAGGCAAAGAATATTCCACAGTTGCATCAGTAGAAAAGGCACAGAATGAGTATCAGGCAGTAGGAAACACATTACAGCTGACATTATTCTTTTCCCTCCATAGCCAAGCAAGAGCATTTTCCTGATACCTCGCTCCTATCCTGGGTCATTACGCTCATTACGCCCATAATCTCAGTAACCGGAATTGTTGTGCTTTGCTGCCTGGCCTACCGTAAGTACTATCACACTATCGTTCTGATTTCAATTCTGGAAGACCAAACTCTTATTAGCATGGTTCAGCATCTCTCTCAGGTTTTAGCCTATTCTTTTCTCATGTTTATAGCAAGTCTATGGAAACATTAGTATCTCCTTTACTTGTCTAAGCAAGTTCTGTTCATTCACTGGACATTTTCCAGACACCTCCTATATGTGTGGCACTCTACTAGGCACTGGAATTACAAAGACAAGAAGTCACCACCCTCAAGACACATTCTAGTTTAGTCCATTTATTTTTTCCCTAACTTTATATATTTTTGGAGACTGAGGTTTGCTATTTGAAAACGTTCTGAGGCTAAATGATATTCTATTGTTTGTGTGTTTTTTTTAAAGGCTAGTTGATTTGGCAGGTAAGTTGTTATGAGCTCCTTAGTGAATTCCAACTTCCATGGCCACCATCCTTCTGTTATTCTAATTTTGATTTGGAGTTAGAGAAAAGGCAAATTGACAAATTTTGGGGCCAAGAATCATTTTCTTGGAGGAAGGCAGGATGCACTAATATAGCTGAGAAACTACATGGCTACAAGTGATCTTCCCAATTCTCAGTTCTTAGGTTGGGCACGGTGGCTCACGTCTGTAACCCCAGCACTTTGGGAGGCCAAGGCAGGTGGATTACTTAAGGTCAGGAGTTCGAGACCAACCAGGCCAATATGGTGAAAACCTATCTCTACTAAAACTACAAAAATTAGCTGGGCACGGTGGCATGTGCCTGTAGTCCCAGCTACTCAGGAGGCTGAGGCAGGAGAATTGCTTGAAACCAGGAGGCAGAGGTTGCAGTGAGCCAAGATTGCATCATTGCACTCCAGCCTGGGCAACAGAGCGAGACTCCATCTCACAAAAACAAATTCTCAGTTCATTAGAATACATTTTTGGATGAAAGATCCGGAGTGGTTGATGAAAGAAAACATTTCTAAGATTTTACCCTACAAATTTATACTTTGGGTGTTAGGCATATGCTGCCCTCAATCTCTGTGATTAAATGAAGAGGAGCTGCGAGTTCTATGGTCTAAGATATGGCCATCATCACTATGAAGAAATATCTACTCTTCTTTGAGTAGAAAGCATGTACTCTGATCAAATAAAATTGGGAGATCAACATATGCTGATTTTTCCAGGTTTTAGAGTGTTTGCACGCATGCGTGCACGCGTACACACACACACACAAATGCCAAAGCTCAGTGAATTCCTTAGAGAGTCTCTGCTGTTACCAACTTTTCACAAGGGTAAGATAAAAAGGTGGGCTCAAGGATGTTTCTAATACCAACTATCCAGTCTTACCCCTTTAATTCAGGGTTTTTCATCCTCAACATTACTGGCATTTTGAGCAAGATAATTCTTTGTTTTGGAGTGCTGTTCTATGCATTGTAGGATGTTTAGCAGCTTCCTTAGCCTCTACTCATTACATGCCAGAAGCACTCCTTGCCCCAGTTGTGACAACCAAAAATATCCCCACGAATTGCCAAACGTTCCCTTGGTAGAGAGGTGGAGAGGTAGCATTGTATCGCCCCTGGTGTAAGAATCACTGCTCCAGTTCTAAGCCAGTGTGAAGCACTGCTAAATATTAATATATGTGCACAATTCAAGGGAAACTCACTTATCATTTTTATTGTTTGTTCTTGTCTCCAAGGCTTTGCCCCAAGATGCAGAGAGAGAAGGAGGAATGAGAGATTGAGAAGGGAAAGCGTACGCCCTATATAACAGGATCCGCAGAAGCAAGAGGTTGAAAAAAACATCTGAAGGTAGCCTCCGTCATCTCTTCTGGGATACATGGATTTTGGAGATCATGAGGCACTCTTCTCTTCCTCTTAGTACTAAATTTAAGCTGTTTTGTCTACTACCTCACCTTCTCAAAAACCTTTCAGGTTACACTAAACAGATACAAGATGCCTAACATCCCTCTCCTTTCTCCCCACATGCAATTCGCTTAATGCAACCTCTTCTTTTGCCAGGTTTCCATTCTGCCATCTTGAAATATTCCCCCCTCTTGTTAGCCAATTCAATGCTTTTCATTATCTATAAAACACTAATTTGAGTTCATCTTGCCTGGGCTAATTTCTTAATCTGATCATTCCTTTTCCCCTGTATCTCTCAGTATTGATGGATATGGGTTAGGGCCACTTTGTACTAACATGGTAACTAACAGACATCCTACTGATCAATCATGGAGCAAAGTTTCATAAAGAACTACTCTGTCATGTCATTTTCCTACTCAGAAACTCAGAAGAGAACCCAGTGCCTACGAAAAGCTCCAAAACTTTTTAACTTTCCACATTCCAGCTGATCTCTTCAGTCTAAATTCACTGAGTTCTGTCAATTGTTCCTCACATGGTATAGTTTCCAGTGTCTCACATGAATGGGGTAAATAGAACCCAAGACTTTAGATTTGGTGTTACTGACTCTACATATAATGGGATAATTACTATCTGGGGTTTGGAATGTTCGTCCTGTTAAGAGAACCTAACACAGCATTAGCTTTAGTGAGTCACAAATCCCCAGGAATTTTCATGCAAGAGAAACTTATGTGGGACATTAGAATCCAAGACACTGACTATCAGGTTCAGGGTAGTTATGAGCCTCCCTCGACAGTTCAACTTTGACTTGTGAAGGCTGGAGTAACACCAGCGTAAGAAATTAGTCTAGAGTGGCCGGGCGCGGTGGCTCAAGCCTGTAATCCCAGCACTTTGGGAGGCCGAGGCGGGTGGATCACGAGGTCAAGAGATCGAGACCATCCTGGTCAACATGGTGAAACCCCGTCTCTACTAAAAATACAAAAAATTAGCTGGGCATGGTGGTGCGTGCCTGTAATCCCAGCTACTTAGGAGGCTGAGGCAGGAGAATTGCCTGAACCCAGGAGGCGGAGGTTGTGGTGAGCCGAGATCGCGCCATTACACTCCAGCCTGGGTAACATGAGTGAAACTCCGTCTCAAAAAAAAAAAAAAAATTAGTCTAGAAAATTATCTCTAAAAATAAAGGAAAGCAAGAATTGTCCTGGGCAGGAGGGGGAAATAGAAAGAAAAAGAAACAATAACACCTGGGACTTACACAACAGGTTGTTTTGCAAAAGCACTATTTCATCTTGTCTTATAAAAATTGCTATAAGCAAGATCAATTTCCATTTTATGGGAGAGAAACCAGAGGCTCCCAGAGGTTGAGTGATTTGCTTGAGGTTAAGGCCATATAGATGAGGAACAAAACCAAGGTTCAAACTGGACATCAAGTTCAGGCTCTGTTCACTACAAACTGGCAGCCTATACATATATTCCCCCAAGGCAGTCTCCCAACTTCCTATCCTGTTTTCTCATTTCCACTGAATGCTCGTTCACTCCTCAAAAGGTCCCCTCCAAGATGTTGCTCTGGCTCAGTTGTCATTATCTACAATTTTCCTGACTTTCTATCTAAAAAGTCTTCTGCTCAGTCTACTGATACTTCAGAATAAAGCCATGTACCCAGTCTTCTACACAAGGCCTTATCTAACCATCTTGTCCAGCTCAAGCAGTTCCACCTCTATAGCACATCTCATACCACCACCATGGGTTGATTCTCATGTACCACATCTTCCTTCTGTCTTCTACCGGACTGTATGTAGGCTTATTGAGGAAAGCAACTGTGCCTGATACATCTTTGTTTGCCCCACACATAGAAGAGTGTCTTGGTGCTTACTAAACATTTGCCTAATCAATATTTCATGTGATAAAAATTGCCAGAGTAGTTCTAAATTCTCTCATAATTTAGCCCTCTCTTCATATTCTTCAGCTATCAAGATTACTAAGTACAAGTTGGGAATATCTTTGATCTTGAGATTAAATATATATTTATATATAAGATATATAAATATTTATATATTTTGTATTTATATAAACATTAAATATAAAAATGTTATATAGTATATATAAAATAATATATACATATATTAAATATATAAATACATATTATATATATATTTTTAATCTCAAGATCAAAGATACTCCCAACTTGGACATAGTAATCTTGATAGCTGAATAATATGAAGAGAGCGCTAAATTATGAGACAACTTAAAACTATTCTGGCAATTTTTATCACATGAAATATTGATTAGGCAAATGTTTAGCAAGCACCAATATATATTAAATATATATGTATATAAATTTAAGTTTTCCTCCTTTGCCAATATAGGGTTTGATGTAATCATTTATTTGTTTTCTCAGGTCCCACCTTCACTTGCAATTGACCTCTTCTGGGAACTTCTTCAGAGGGACAGGATTACCCCACCTTGACCTTTGTGTATCTGTTCTTAGGTGCTTCTTCACTTCAGTTGCTTTGCAGGAAGTGTCTAGAGGAATACGGTGGGCAAAGAAGTTGCTCTGCTGACCTGGATAAAGGGGTTTTGAAATGTGGAATTCTTGAGTTCTGAAAGGGACTTTAGAGAATACCAGTGTCATTAATGACAAAGGCACTGAGGCCCAGGACAACCACAATTATAAAGGCCAGTGCCAGAACCCAGATTTCCTAACTCTGGTGCTCTTTCCCTTCATCAGTTTGACTCTGGCCTGTTAGCTGGTGTATACATATACATGTCAGGCAAAATGCTGCTGGAAGTAGAATTTGTCCAGTATCAGGTCAACTTCAGAGACTTGATCTGATTTCATGTTGTGGTTTACAAAAGTCCAATATCATGTATAGGTAGTATGGCATGAACATCTTTAGGATAATGGAAATATTACTGGCGTTTAGCCAGTATTCCATTTTTCATTGTGTTCTCTATTGTTGCTTTCTCACTCCCCCATGAGGTACAAAGAAAGTAGAACTATCCAAAACTAATCTCCTCTGATATTTAACATGAATGATTTATGTACCTCAAAGCAGTAGTCAAGGAGGAAAGGGATGGTCCAAAGACTTACAATCAATTGGTTCATATTGGACTGATAATCTCTTTAAATGGCTTTATGCTAGTTTGACCTCATTTGTAAAATATTTATGAGAAAGTCCTCATTTAAAATGAGTTATTTACTGTGTATGCACTAAACAGTAAGGTATTTTCCAATGTCTAAGGTGGTAGCTTTTCACAGAGCCTTCTTAGATCCCTAAGACGGCTTTTCCTTGGTATTTCTGGGCCTTTCTGACATCAGCGGAGAACTGGAAAGACATACTGTCAGGTCTCCATGTGGAAGCCTGGACCCAGAAAGTCTGAAGACCAGCCTGCCTCAGCTGATCATTCCCCACCCCACAACCCTCACCTACATAATACCCCTGCCCCCTCCCCAAAAGATCTGCCCCAACCTATAAAACCAACTCCTATCCCACTGCCCTTCACTGACGCCCTTTTCAGCCTAAGCCCACTTGCACCCGGGGGAATAAACAGCCATGTTGCTCACACAAAGCCTGTATGGGGGATCTCTTCATTCAAAGTGCGTGTTTTAACACACACCCAGTTGCTGTTTCTGTTACTCATGGCTCCTTTCTCTAAAACTGCCTTCCACAATACTCTAGACCAGGAGTGGATGCAACTTAAGCTGGGACAGTCACATCATCATCTGAAAGTCTGGAGTTGGATAGCAAAAGATGACAAAGTTTCTTAAATGCACTTCTCATGGCAGCTAAGCCACATGGCCAGGATTCAAAGCCTTTAGAGCCAGCCCATGACTTTAGCTACCTCACTATGCTGTTTCACAAACCTTGCTCCTATGTAACAACTATATTCTCAGTGTATGGCAGAGAGGTCTAACACCAACAAAAGATACTAACAGTTGCTTCCTGTCAATATGCTTAATTCAGTAATTCTTTTCATTTACTAACAGTTGTTAGGTGTATTTCTAATCTAAGTAATTTCTGTATTCTACAGCAGATACTTTGTCAGCAATACTAAGGGAAGAAACAATGTTGAACTGTTTCTTTAATAATGCTGATCTACTTTTTGTTGAATTTGTATTTTATTTCAAGTGGCAAAGAAATCATCTCTGATTTTTATTAATATTAAACCAAACACTACTACACATTTAGCCTCACACTGCTCCAGGACCCAAGGGTTTCACAGACCATTTGCCTTACCTGTTTTTTTCCCTCTCCTCCTTCCAGAATACCCTTTTAAAAGACTACATGAATAAATATACGAACTGTAAAATTCAACTTTAGTCTCTTGGGAAATGTTTTATTTACTGCTATACAATCTAGGTGGGTGGATATATTCATATATGTATATATTGATAGATCAACAGACATAAATATGTATTTAAATTTAGGGATAAGTATAGTGAGAGTACAACAGCCCCATTCTTAGTTAAAAAAGAAAAACAGAAGAGCAAGCCACTGCCACCACAGGTACCAGTACTTACATTTGTCAGGCTGACCAAAGAGTGGCCTGTGTGTTGGCATTCAACAGACATGGCAGCATAGCTCCCGTCAACTCTCCACTGAGTTTTAAGTTCAGAGTACTTTCAGTCCTTGTCTTGTTCATCTATTATTGAAGGGTTTCTAGGAAGGTTTAGCAGTGCTTCAATTCTCTTAGCATCATCCTCAGGTTGATTTTTCTGTATGCTACTTTCAATTTGCTCAGGGAGACGTGCAGTAATTTGTAATCTGGCTTTCCTGTAATCAAATAAAAAGGATAAATCAAATACTGCTCAATTTCTTTAGTTCTTACGAATTTAAAACAAAAAGGACAGCATTTGTCTTTTTCTCCGTGCTTTGGTATAACAACTTCAGAGCAAACACTGCTCCCTGCAGTTCAAACACAGTAACTTCATTCTTTTGCCTAACCTCACAAGCCAATTATGACTTCTACATTACTATAACGGATACTGTTGTGGTGACAGTTCTGATCCATAAAATATTCCTAGTATACTGGGTCCTAGAATTCTTATAGGAGTGATGTGTGGGAGCTGACACACTTTGTGCTAAGGTGTGAAGGCTTGAAGTCTCGCTGTCCTCTTGCTCCCAGGGCTGGGGGACTGTAAATACCCTGCAACTCTTAAACTCTGTGACCAGATCTTGTAGGAACTGGAGAAATGATATAACAATGGTAATTCTAGGTAGAGAAAAGTCAGATAGGACAACATTATAGATTTATATTTATGAAGAGTTAAAATCTAATTTCCAAATAATAGATCAGTTCTGTTTCTAAATCAAGTATTAGTGTCTTTCTTCAGTGATTATTGGGGTTGCCTAAAGTTTCTTCTCACTCTTCACAAACAGATTTGGTCATTTGTTCTGTATCTCTATCGTTAGTTTTCTACATTTTCTGCTCACTAAGGCATTTTTTTTTTTTTTTACTCTCAATTTGTTTGATTTTCCTGTATTATTTTCAAGCAAAGAAGTAGGCACATACAAGAAGTAGGCACTTAAACATTTGCTGAATTAACTCTCCTTAGAAATATTACACACACACACATATAAACACATACATACATGCCATACAATTTTGACACTTTCATTCTGCCAAAGTATCCTTTCCTTACTATGATTTGTTTTTATCCATTCTTTTTATTTTTATCCATTCTTTTTAAAATCGATACTAATAATTGTACATATTTATGGAGTACAAAGGAATATTTTCATAAATACACAATGCGTAATAATCAAATGAGGGTAATTAGCATATATGTCATGTGTCACCTTAAACATTGATCATTTCTTAGTGTTGGAACCATTCTAACAACCTCTCTTCTAGCTACTTGAAAATGCACAATAAATTATTATTAATTATCGTCATCCTACAGTGCCACAGACACTAGAACTTAGGCCTCTGTTCTAGTTGTAATTTTATGTCCATTAATCAATCTCTTAAATTCCCTCTCCTTAGACTCCTCCCTTTTCCCTCCCCAACCTCCAATAACCATAATTCTGCTCTTTACTTCTATGAGCCCATTTTTTTTTAGCTCCACATGAGTGAGAGAACATGCAGTATTTATCTTTCTGTGGATGACTTATTTTACATAACAATGCTCTCCAGTCTTATCCATGTTCCCACAAATGACAGGATCTCATTCTTTTTTATGGCTGAATAGTATTCTATGGTACATATATATCACATTTCCTTTATCCATTCATCTGCTGATGGACAATGACATTGACTCCATTCCTTGGCTATTACGAATAGTGCCACGATAAGGGTGGGGTGCAGATAAGTCTTTGATATTCTGGTTTCTTTTTCTTTGGATAAATACCCACTAGGGAGACTGTTGGATCATATAGTAGTTCTGTTTTCAGTTTTCTGAGGAACTGCCATGCTGTTTCTATAATGGCTGTATTAATTTGCATTCCTATCAAAAATACGTGAGTTCCCTTTTCTTTCTGCATCCTCGCAAAAACTTATTTTACCTTTTTTAAAAGAGACATTCTAATTGGGATAAACATCACCCCAATTTTGCATTTATGTTGAATACTTTTTCATACACTTGTTAGCCACTTGTATGTACTTTTTGAGAAATACAAGTTTCCCCTCAAGCTGCTCCCCACCTCTTTTTTAAAAAAGAGACAGGGTCACAGTGGCTCATGCCTGTAATCCCAGCACTTTGGGAGGCCAAGGTGAGTGGATCACGTGAGTTCTAGAGTTTGAAACCAAACTGCCTGGCCAACATGGTGAAACCCCAAATCTACTAAAAATACAAAAATTAGCTGGGTGTGGTGGTGTGTGCCTGTAGTTCCAGCTACTCAGGAGGCTGAGGCAGGAGAATGGCTTGAACTCAGGAGGTGGAGGTTGCAGTGAGCCAAGATCGCACCACTGCCCTTAAGCATAGGCAGTAAGAGTGAAACTCCACCTCAAAAAAAAAAAAAGAAAAAAAGACAGGGTCTCACTTTCTTGCCCATGCTGGAGTGTGCTGATGCAATCATAGCTCACTGCTGCCTCAAATTCCTGGACTCTAGGGATCCTCCAGCCTCAGCCTCCCAAGTAACTGGGGCTATAGGTATGTACTACTGTGCCCCGCTAATTTTCTTTTGTCTCATTCTGTCACCCAGGCTGGAGTGCAATGGTACCATCTTGGCTCATTGCAACCTCCACCTCCCAGGCTCAAGCAATCCTCCTACCTCAGCCTCTCAAGTAGTTGGGATTACAGGTGTGTACCATCACACCCACCTAATTTTTGTATTTTTAGTAGAGATGGGGTTTCACCATGTTGGCCAGGCAGGTCTCAAACTCCTGACCTAAAGTGATCTGACTGCCTTGGCCATCTAAAGGGCTGGGATTACAACTGTGAGCCAATGACCTTTATTTCTTTTTCTTGCCCAACTGCTCTGGCTAGGATTTCTAATACTCCATTGAATAAGACTGGTAAGAGTGGGCATTCCTATTTCAATCCAGTTCTTTGAAGGAAAAGCTTCCAACTTTTCCCTGTTCAGTATATTCGCTGTGAGTTTGTCATACATGGCCTTTATTGTACTGAGAAATAGTCCTTCTATCCCTAACTTTCTGAAAGTTTTTATCATGAAGGGGTGTTGGATTTTACCAAATGATTTTTTCTGCATTTACTGAGATGATCATATGGTTTTTGTCCTCCCTTCTGTTTATATGATATACCACATTTATTGATTTGTGTATGTTGTACCATCCTTGCATCCCTAGGATAAGTCACACATGTTCATGATGTATAATCTTTTTGATGTATTCTTGGATTTGGTTTCCTAGTATTTTGTTAAGAACTGTTTTGTAGAATATATTGGCCTGTAGGTTATTTATTTATTTATTTATTTAATGTGCCCTTGTCTGGTTTTGGTATCAGGGTAATGATGGCCTTGTAGAATGAGTTTGGAAGAATTCTCTCATCTTCATTATGTTCAATAGTTTGATAATTGGTCTTAATTCTCCTTTAACTGTTTGGCAGAATTTAGCAATGGAGCCATGTGGTCTTGGACTTTACTTTGTTGAGAGACTTTTTATCACAAGTTCAATCTTGTTACTTGTGATTGGTCTGTTCAGGTTTTCTATCACTTCTTGGCTCAATCTTGATAGATCATATGGGCTCAAGAATGTATCCATTTCCTGTAGCTTTTCCAATTTCTTGGCATATAGTTGTTTTATAGTACTCTGTAATGATACTAACTATGTCCATGGTATCAGTTGTAGTGTCTCCTTTTTTGTTTTTTACCTTATTTATTTGGGTCTTTTTTCTAACTAGTAGTTTGTTGATTTTGTTTATTTTCAAGAAACCAACTTTTCGTTAGTTGTTCTTTTGTATTTTTTTTAAGTCTCTATTTTATTCAGCTCTTCTCTGATCTTTTTATTTATTTCCTTCTATTTATTTTAGGTTTGGTTTGTTCTTGTTTCTCAAGTTCTTTGAGGTGTAGTATTAGGTTGTTTATTTGAAATATTTCTACTTGTTGATGGAGGCATTTATTGCTGTAAACTTCCCTCTTAGTGCTGCTTTTGCTGTATCTCATATATTTTGGTATGTTGTGTTTCTATTTTCATTTGTTTCAAGAAATTTTTAAATTTCCTTCTTAATTATTTCATTGACCCACTGGTTGTTCTGGAGCATGTTATTTAATTTCTGTGTATATGCACAGTTTCCAAAGTCCTTCCTGTTACTTATTTCTAGTTTTATTGTGTTGTGGTCTGCAAAAATACTTGACATTATTCTGACCTTTAAAATTTTTGATACTTGTACATTCCAAGATAAGAAAAAAGGCCAGGCGCAGTGGCTCATGCCTGTAATCCCAGCACTTTGGGAAGCCAAGGCAGGTGGATCAGGAGATCAAGAGATTGTCAAGAGATTGAGATCATCCTGGTCAACATGGTGAAACCCTGTCTCTAATAAAAAAACAAAAATTAGCCAAGTGTGGTGGTGTGCCACCACAGTCCCAGCTATTCAGGAGACTGAGGCAGAAGAATCGCTAGAGCCTGCAAGACGGAGGTTGCAGTAAGCTGAGATCACACCACTGCACTCAAGCAACAGAGCAAGACTACATCTCAAAAAAAAAAAAAGGAAAAGAAAAAGAAAAATGTGTATTTTGCAGCTGTTAGATGTGATGTTCTATAAATGTTTGTTAGGTCCATTTGATCTATGGTACACTTTAAGTCTGATGTTTCTTTGTTGATTTTGTCTAGATGATCTGTCCAGTGCTGGGAGTATGGTGTTGAAGTTCCCAGCTATTATATTAGGGTTTCTCTCTCCCTTTAGCTCTAATATTATTTGTTTATATATATGGATGCTCTGGTGTTGGGTGTATATATATTTATAGTTATTTCCTATTGCTGAATTGATCTCTTTATCACTATATAATGAACTTGTCTCTTTTTATATTTTATTTAAAGCCAATTTTATCTGGCATTAGTATAGCTATTCCTCCTCATTTATGATTTCCATTTGCATGAACATCCTTTTCTATCCCTTTACTTTCAGCCTATCTGTACCTTTACAGGTGAAGTGAGTTTCTTGTAGTCAGAATATATAATTGAGTCTGTAAATTTTTTTTAATTCATTCAGCCAGCTTAAATCTTTAACTGGGGAATTTAAAGTGTTTACATTTGACGTTGTTATTGATAGGTGTGGATTTACTCCTGTCATTTTGTTAATTGTCTCCTGGTTGTTTTGTATAACCTTTGTTTCTTTCTTCCCCTACTATTTATTTTCATGGTTGACGGATTTTTGTAATTATAAGGTTTGATTCCTTTCTCATTCCTATTTGTGTATCTGCTCTACAAGTGTGTTTTATTCTTTCATGTATTTCCATAATGGTAGCTACCGTACTTTTGCATTCCGATGTAGGAGTTCTTTAAGCATTTCTTATAAGACAGTCTAATGGTGATAAATTCCCTCAGTGTTTGCCTGTCTTGGGAAGACTTTCTCCTTCATTTTGGAAGAATAGCATTGCTAGGTATAATATTCTTGGTAGGAGTTTGTTTTTTTTCTTTCAGCCCTCTGAATGTATCATCTCATTCTATCCTGACCTGTAAGGTTCCTGTTGGCAAATCTGCTGTTAACCTGATGGGGGGGGTAAATGGTGGCACCAGGTCGGCCGGTCTTCAGGGGGTGCACATGGCAGCTCACTCACTAGAATTGGCAGGGTTGCCTGTGGTGGAAACTCCAGGTGAATGACCTTAGAATAGCCTTTGCCAGCCATTCTTAAGCTTTACCATCTCAAAATCACTGATCTCTAAATCACTGACAAACTTCTGCAGTTTTTAATTTTTCATTCACTTTTTAAAAATTATTTATTTATTTATTTATTTGTTTGTTTGTTTGTTTGTTTTTGAGACAGAGTCTTGCTCTGTGGCCCAGACTGGAGTTCAGTGGCACGATCTCAGCACACTGCAACCTCTGCCTCCTGGGTTCAAGCAATCCTCCTGCCTGAGCCACCCGAGTAGCTGGGATTACAAGTGCATGCCACCACACCTGGCTAATTTTTGTATTCTTAGTAGAGGTGGGGTTTCATCATGTTGGTCAGGCTGGTCTCAAACTCCTGACCTCAAGTGATCTGCTTATCTTGGCATCCCAAAAAGCTGGGATTACAGGTGTGAGCACTGCACCCACCCCTACTTTTTAAATTGAAATAGTTATGTGTTCATATTTTTCCAAATGCTAATTCTTCCATAACATCCTGTATCAATGTCAAATAGCCAATATACATTCCTTACCTTTCTAACCTCTTTCTCAAAGCTTCCTTTTCAAAAAATAAAAAAGAAGTCCGGCACCTAGGGAATCTTTCATCCTTTTAATTTTCTATAATGTCAAATTATATCAGCAGAATTTTAAGTGCACCCTAGAACCTAGATAACTGCGTGTCCCACCTACCTTTTACTACAAAAAGGAAGGAATAAAACAAACACTGAACAAGGTGGTATAATTCTGTTCCTTAGAACAGCTAAAAAAAACCTGAGGGCTTGAAGTTAAGGAAAATATCTAAGATCACAGAACGAACTGATAGTTTAGCTCGATTTAGGTCTAGCTTTCAAGGTTTCATTGAAACCTTGAAATCCAAAATCAATGCTTTTTTCTCATATAGCACCTAAGTCCTTGGATAATGGACCTACAGCTCTTAAGAATTTCCATGTGTGTATGGTTAACAGAAACGTAAGGTTTCAACTAAAAACACTAGAAAATAATGATTTCTCATCTATCCAATTATAATACTGAACAGCAACAGCAACAGCAGCACCAGCCAGTGCTGTCTTAGGTACCCAGGAAGCTGAGCTAGTGAGAATCATTTGTACTCAGGAGCACTAGATGGCAGCCTGTTACGTTGATCTTACATATAGAATCTGTGCAAAGTTGCTATCAGTCTGATTGCCCTACCCCACAAATTGCATCCCAGGAAATGACTAGATGCAAGAGGTAAAAGTTTTCATGCTCCTCAGTGGCTTCAGTGCATGAACAGCTACTGTCCACCTAATTCCTCTGTGTCTACAGCAAGAAAAAGAATCTCTGTGGAGACTTAACATGCTGTGTGTTACTTACGTATGTATGTATAAAAAAGAATGTCACTTGTTTCTTTTGTGAGACAGTCTTGCGCTATGGCCTAGCCTGGAGTGCAGGGGCACAATCACAGCTCACTGAAACCTCTGCTTTCGGGGTTCAAGTGATTCTCCTGCCTCAGCCTCTAAGTAGCTGGGACTACAGGTGTGTGCCACCACGCCCAGGTAACTTTTTTATTTTTAGTCGAGATGGTGTTTCACCATGTTGTCCAGGCTGGTCTCGAAATCCTGCTCTCAGGTGATCCACCTGTCTCAGCCTCCCAAAGTGCTGGGATTACAGAAGTGAGCCACCCCACCCAGCAAAGGATGTACTTTTTAAATATGCCAAGTAAACCTCACTCCTTGATGAATATTCTCTTTAGGTAACTTCCTATGCAGTCAAGAACATAGGAAAAGAAAAAACATGCAAGCAAATAAGATTTACAACATTTTAACTTAAAAAGAACATATACAAAGAAAGATCTTCATTAAATTAAAACTAAAATTAATGTCTTTCATTTTTCCATTCTCTTTAAATAGATTAAAATACATGTATAGTATGAGTTGTATCAGTAAAAATAAACTCATCTTGAATTGAGTAGCAGTTTAAAGTACATGAGTTTAACAGGGCACCACTATATAAGGCCTGGGGATAAGACAACCACGATTCCCTGGGCTTAACATGTTCCTTACCACTCTTCCAGTTTTTGATCATGGAGTGCCTTTCGGTCCTTCTGTTTTCTCTCCTGAACAGTCTCACCAGAGTACTTCTGAATTATCATCATCAGGCTTCCTATAGGAGTGCTGAGAAGAAAAGAGAGGAAAAGCTCAGGAAAAAAGAGTCATTAGACCTTACAACTTGTGAGATTCTCTGCTAAGACGTGAGCAACACCAGAGCCACTTGTTCACTATCAGGTATAGGAACATTTGAGAATTAAAGTGTCCTTGTCAAATTAAAAAAAAAAAAATGAGGTAATCTCTTCCCTGGACTGAACAACAGAGAAAAACAATCATTACAACCTTCTAAAGTTGGCTGATATATAACAAAACAACAGATCTAGAAACTGGCTGTTTTCATGAGAAATGAGAAATAAATCAAAACAAAGAGGGAAAAAAATATATATTTATGACAAGTTCTAATAAGTAGCCCCACACCAAAGATGAAATGAAATTTCTAGTTCAGAATGGCCCCAGCTCCTCTAGGAGACAAGAAATGTAGAGGGCATTTTTGGTTGAGAAAGGGATGCTATACTGGCTTTTGGGGATGGGATCACCAAAATATCCTAAAGTTCAAGAGTCTGGCATAACTGTCTCACCCAGAATGCCAATAGCAACCCATTGAGAAACTGATTTAGTTAATAATTATTATAGTGATAAAGAGTTTGGTTCTTGTGTTCTCGGATTAGGAGTATTTGACCTTCACCTACCTTAAATTTCCTCCATCTATAATTTAACCTCATGTTAAAAACTATTTTTGCTAAGTGGAAGCAACCTAAATGTCCACTGACAAATGGTTAATGTGATATACACATACAACGGAATATTATGCAGCCTTAAAAAAGAGGGCAGGCCAGGTGTAGTGGCTCATGCCTGTAATCCCAGCACTTTGGGAGGCCAAGGCAGGCAGATCACCTGACGTCAGGAGTTCGAGACCAGCCTGGCCAACATGGAGAAATCCCGTCTCTACTAACAAATACAAAAATTAGCTGGGTGTGGTGGTTGGTAATCCCAGCTACTTAGGAGGCTGAGTCTGGAGAATCACTTGAATTCAGGAGATGGAGGTTGTAGTGAGCTGAGACTGTGCCACTACACTCTAGCCTGGTGACACAGCGAGACTCGGTCTCAAAAAAAAAAAAGTGGCAATCCTGTCACATGCTGCAACATAGATAAACCTCAAGGATATTATTATGCTAAGCAAAATAAGCTAGTCACAAAAAGATAAATACTGCATGATTCCTCATACGAAGTATCTAAAGTAGTCAAAATCATAGAAACAGAAAGTAAAAACATGTTTGCTGAGGGCTGGGGGGTGTGGGGAGGGGAAATTAGTTTTTTTAATGGATATAGTTTCATTTTGCAAGATGAAAATGTTCTACAGATGTCATGCACAATGTGAATACACTTAGTGTTACTGAACTATACATTTAAAAATGGTTAAGATGGTGAATTTATGTATTTGTTTATAACCATAATAAAAAATATTTTTGTTGCTAACTTCTACAACTTTTCCCTTCAAACCAAACTGGTATATTAACACTACAACAAAAGTAATGGCAACAGTAGATTATGACATGCGATTTTATTTAAATTTTTTAAGAAGTCGTTAAATCTATAGCATCATCTTCTCCTTAAAAGGAAGTAGACAAAGGGGTGAACAGGTGAGGGAGGAAGGGAGAACTCTTCTAGTCAGATAGCAACTAATAAAAACAGAAGGACTGACACAACTAGCTCATAAACACTTTACCACCACTTTTCTAGTAACCAACAGATTACAGCATGGATTGTCAATGTATCACTAAAAACACATGATGAAAAGATAGCTGGAGAGCAGAATATTCAGTTTCACCCTCCAGATTACTAATTAATCACATTAGGAAAAAGATATCTTTGCAGTGGAGACACCAAACAGATAACACCAGAACCAAGTGCGGTAGGCAGAATTCTAAAGTGGTCCCCCCAAATTTCCTGCCTAATCCCAACCATGAATATGGTATTATGCCCATGATTATATTATCTTACATGGAAAAACTGATTTTAGAAGTGAAATTAAGGTTGCTAATTAGTTGAATCTGAGGTAATGAACAAGGAGACAGAGATCTGAGTGAACACTTAAAAGCAGCATTTTCCCTGGCCGGTGGCAGAGTGGAAGCTGAAGATTCAAAGTATTTGGAGTCGTCAATGTGCTGCAACTGGTTTAAATACGAAGCGGCCTTGGGACAAGAAATGTGGGTGGCCTCCAGGAACAGAGAATAGTCTGGCTGACAGGCAGCAAGAAAACAGGAACCTCAGACCTCCAGGAACAAGGAACTAAATTCTTTTTTTTTTGAAATGGAGTCTCACTCTGTCACCCAGGCTGGAGTGCAGTGGTATGATCCTAGCTCACTACAACCTCTGTCTCCTGGGTTCAAGGAATTCTCCCGCCTTAGCCTCCTGAGTATCTGGGATCACAGGCTCCTGCCACCATGCCTGGCTAATTTTTGTATTTTTAGTAGAGACAGGGTTTCACCATGTTGGCCAGGCTGGTCTTGAACTCCTGACCTCAAGTGATCCATTCGCTTCGGCCTCTCAAAGTCCTGGGATTATAAGTGTGAGCCACTGTGCCCGGCCACAAGGAACAAAATTCTGTCAAGAACATGAGCTTGGAAACAGATTCTTCCCCAGAGCCTCTAGGTAAGAGTCCAGCCCAGCCAAGACCTTGACTTTGGCTTTGTAAAACCTTGGGCAGAGAAACCTAGCCAGACTTCGGATCTACAGAACTACAAGGGTGTTGCTTTATATGCAATACATGCTCAGTTTGTGGTAATTTGTTACACAGCAGTAGAAAACCAATATATCAAGTAATTCAAGTTAATATTACTTATAATAGGTAACAGAATTATCTCCTGATGTGATATGCTGAGGCTACAACTTCACCTATGTTGTACGTATTCCTGACAAAAACACATTAAACATAAATCTAATCATGATGGGATAATCAAACAAAATGGAGAAACATTGTGGGCATTAGTATGATAATTGAGGAATTTTGAATATAGGCCCTTAGATAGTTGCTTATTCATTTTCCTTTCACTATGCGCTATGTTTACTGTGACAACTGCATTACAATTTCATGGAAGAGTATTCTTCATCCTGGAAAATACATGCTGATATATATGGGGGTAAAATGTCACGAGTTCTCAATCGGTTTAGCCAAGAAGCAAAAGGAAAGAAAACGAAATATATTCACATCCCACACATACACAGAGATATGGAAAACATCAGCAAGGTGCTAACAATTGGTGAATCCAGGTGAAGGGTACATGGGGTTTCAATGTATTAATTGATTCAATTTTTCTGCAGGTTTGAAATTGTTCAAAGTAAAAAGTTGGGGAATAACATTTTTTAAAAAATGTATTAAGCAAAAAAAACTAAATCTCACCAAAAATTTTTATAGAATATGCTTGTTGGCTGGGTGTGGTGGCGCACGCCTGTAATTCCAGCACTTTGGGAGGCTAAGGCGGGTGGATCATGAGGTCAGGAGTTCAAGACCAGCCTGGCCAACATGGTAAAACCCTGTCTCTACTAAAAACACAAAAGGAAGGAAGGGAGGGAGGGAGGGAGGGAGTGAGCGAGGGAGGGAGGATGGGCTTGTTAAGGAAGGAGATGCTTGTTAACTATTTGTTAGTTTTTCCCTGCTCCCATAAATACCTCTGTTCAAACTATAGTTTCAGGTGTTAGCAATATTTAAACAGTTTTACCCAGTAAAAAGGAATTTTGAATAAGGGCCCTATCTTAGATAGGTGTACTGAATCACTGTTATTTATTGTGATAACTTTTAAGTAAAATGTGTTAATTTTTGAGTAAAATAAACTACAGTATAAATAAAAACTGTAAACAAGATAAACTATTGGGGTAGAATTAGAACTGGACAGTCAAAACTACTGCCAATACAAGACTAGGGATCTTTTATCGATTCTAAGGACTAAATTTTCTTTGAAAATAAGTGAGACTTTTTAATAGGCAAGGCATTAATGAAAGTTGTACCAATTTAAAATCAAACCATGTTAATGCTTACCCCAGCAAGGCTCCAAGTATACCACCAGCCACCAGGCCACGCAGGCCTAAGTTTATTCTAAAAAGACTTCCTGTGACAGCTATTTAAAAACAAGAAAGGCAATATTAAATCATCTTTAAATACTAGAATTCTATTTTAAAATTTTCCTTCTATAAAAAGGGCACAAATCCCTAAGTGAGCTTTCTGAACCCAATGTTAAAATATTATAACAGCTGATATTTCCTGAATCTAAAATGCCAACACAGGTAGCTTCCCATCTACTCTGCAGATTCAAAGGAAGAAACATCCCTTCTACAAAAATAAATCTCCAATCTGTTCTATGGATCCAATCATTCTGCTTCACTTTTGCCCATCTCTCCTTAAAAATTTGAAAACATTTTCCCCCTTCTCTTTCACTTCTTCTTTTTTCAAGGAAAATTTAAAAAAGCAAAAAATCCTTCACTAGCCCTTCCAGTTTATGCCTTTCCCTAGACTCACCGTCTGTACTGCTATATAGCACTACTTAGGCAGAGCGACAAGCAAGCAGCATTTGGCCTACAGTACTGGTGACCAGAGCACAGAGAGACTTCTTTCCTTTCTGCTGCGACTGTGCATCAATCATGCTCATTCATTTTCTTTTCACTACGCACAATGCAACTAATGCCATCTAAGGTGGTTAACACTGTTTAAAGAATAACACTTGAGGCCAGGCACACTGGCTTACAACTGTAACCCCAACACTTTCGGAGGCTAAGATGGACAGATCACTTGAGGTCAGGAGTTCTAAATCAGCCTTGCCAACATGGCGAAACCCTGTCTCTACTAAAAATGCAAAAATTAGCCAGGTATGGTGGTACAGGCCTATAATCCCAGCTACTCAGGAGGCTAAGGCACGAGAATTGTTTGAACCCCGGAGGTGGAGGCTGCAGTGAGCAGATATAATACCCCTGCACTCTAGCCTCAGCAAAAGAATAAGATTCTGTCTCAAAAAACAAAAGAAATAACATTTGAGATTTACATTTTTAAGTACTATATATTCATTTTTTTAAATTTCAAAACAAGAACCAAAATAATCTTTGATCCTATTACCTAGAGTAATGAGTTAGTCCTTTTTTCTAATCCTCCAATCAAAATTTAAAAAAAGAAAAAACTGGGGCCATGCTGTACATACTAAAATTTTCACAGAACATATTATTAAATTCTGTATCACTAAGTTTTCTTCCACATGGTTCCATTGCATGGAGGTACCACAAATTTTTGTCTAATATGTAGGTTTTCTCTTTATAAATACTTTAAATAAAGGTGTGATGATAATCCCTCCACAAATCATCTTTTTGTACAACTGTTGCCTTAGAATGAACTCACAGAAATGGAATTTCTGGGTCAAACAGTATAAATGTTTTTAAAGCTTTTGACTTAAATTACTAAACTGCTATTCAAAAAGGATGCATAAACTTATTTTCCAAATAAAAGTATGCAAGTAATCTAGACTTTTGCATTCTCTTAGTTTATTTTTTCCAATTTGATAGGACAGAAGTAGTATGTAATTTTAAGTTGCATTTCTCTGATTAGTAGAGAAAAGCAGTTGTTTTTCCTTAGGTTTACAAGTTATTTGTGGTACCTCTATGAATTACAAATTTATGTCCTTTGTCAAAGCTTCAGTTGAGCTATCCTTTCTTTTTGATGTATTAGGGCTTTTATCCATTACCTGCACATAATATTATTTTGGAGTTGTTTACATTTAATGTCTTCTATAGTATTTATGACATAGATAAGTTTACAACTTTTATGTGGCCAAAACTGTGTTTCCTATATATTTCCTAATTTTTATACTTAAAAATATATTGAGTTGATAAACATGAGTTTGAACTGTGCAGATTTACTTATACATGATTTTTTTTTCCTTTCTTTTTTTTAAGACCAAGAGTCTCATTCTGTTGCCCAGGCTGGGGTGCAATGCCATGATCTTGCCTCACTGTAACCTCCGCCTCTCAGGTTCAAGCTATTCTCCCACCTCAGTCTCCCAAGTAGCTGGGACTACAGGTGCGCGCCACTACACTTGGCTAATTTTTTCTATTTTTTAGTAGAGATGGGGTTTTACCATGTTGGCCAGGCTGGTCTTAAACTCTTGACCTCAAGTGATCTGTCCACCTTGGCTTCCCAAAGTGCTGAGATTACAGGCATGAGCCACCACGCCCAACCACATGATTTTTTTTTTCAATAAATATATTGAAAAATGTTTTGGAGATGTGCAGTAATTTCAAAAAACTCACCAACGGTCTAGTCTAAAAATATCAAAAAAGTTAAAAAAATATGTCTTTAAGTGCATGAAATACATGTAGATACCAATCTATGTGTGAATCAACTGTTTATGTTATTGTTAAGGCTTCTGGAGAACAGTAGGCTATTAGCAGTTAGGTTTTTAGGGAGTCAAAAGTTATACATGGATTTTTCAACTGCACAAGGCAGAAGTCAGCGTTGCTGTGTTCAAAGCTGTTTTCAGTGTTGTTCAAAGGTCAATTGTGTATATGTACACATTTATGTAGATTCCCACCCAGAAATCAGAGACATATGTACATATATATTTTCCCTAATCTTTCGTGAATGTTTTACGTAAGCACCATAATAAATGTTAACTAATATTGTTGTTCTGAATAGTTATAATTTCTTTCCAAATAGTTAATAATTGTTCCAGCCCATGAAGGGTCTATTCTTTCCCCAAAAATCTGAAATATCACCTTTACTTATTTGTGTGTGCTTGGTTTTGTTCGTTTTGTTCCTGATCTTTGAATTCCACTCCACAGATGTACCAATACCTCACTGTCCTTTTTATTGAAACTTTATACACATTTTAATTTTACACTTGCAAGGCCCCTCATTATTTTTCTCTGAAATATCTTTGCTATGCTCATATAATCAGCATTTTAGATATAATTTAGACATTGTATCAAATTTTTTTTAAAAAGTCTGTAATTTTTATTTGAATTGCTTTCAATTTATAAAGTAGAATAATACTGTTAACTATCAACTATTCCTCCATTTCTATTATTTATATTTTAATGACTAGCAACAGTTTTTCAAGTCATCTTTTAAAATATTATCTACAAACACAAACAATTTTGTTTCCTCCTATCTAAAAGCACTGTCTTCTTCCCCTTCTGTATTAATGTATTTTTAACAGTTTTATTAAGGTATAATTTACATAGCCCAAAATTCACTTAAATGTAAAATTCACTAATTTTTAGTAAAAAAAATTTAGTTATGCAACCATCACTAAAATCCAATTTAAAAATGATTCCATCATTACAGAAAGATCCCCCATGCCCATTTGTGGTTACTCCTGGTTCCTAGTCTCACCTCAGGTAATCACTACTTTTTAACTCAACAGATTTGCTTATTCTGGACATTTCATATGAATAGAATTATATATTATGAAGTTTTTTGTGTCTAGCTTCTTTCACTTAACAATGTTTTTGAAGTTTGTAGCATGTTTGCAGCATGTAACAATTTCTTTTTACTGATGAAAATATCCAACTGAATGGATGACACAGAATTGCTGAGTTGCACAGTAAATTATGCTTAACCTTTTTTTTTTTTTTTTTTTGTGATGGAGTCTCACTCTGTGGCCCAGGCTGGAGTATAGTGGCGTGATCTCGGCTCACTGCAACCTATGTCTCCTGGGTTCAAGCGATTCTGCTGTTTCAGCCTCCCAAGTAGCTGGGATTACAGACGTTTACCAATACACCCAGCTAATTTTTATATTTTTAATAGAGACAGTGTTTCACCATGTTGGCCAGGCTGGTCTCGAACTCCTGACCTCAAGAGACCCACCCGCCTTGGCCTCCCAAAATCCTGGGATTATAGGCACGAGTCACTGCACCTGGCTTTCCAATGGTTTTCTTAATTCATTTGGATTTCCTTTTTTTTTTTTGAGATGGAGTCTCGCTTTATCGCCAGGCTGGAGTACAGTGGCACAGTCCCGGCTCACTGTAACTTCCATTTTCCAGTTCCAAGTAATCCCCTTGCTTCAGCCTCCTGAGTAACTGGGACTACAGGCACGGACTACCACGCCCGGCTAATTTTTTTTTGTATTTTTAGTAGAGAAGGGGTTTCACCATGTTGGCTAGGATGGTCTCGATCTCTTGATCTTGTGATCTGCCCACCTTGGCCTAGCAAAGTGCTGGGATTACAGGTGTGAGCCACCACGCCTGGCCTTTTTTTTTTTTAAGACAGAGTCTTGCTCTTTTTGCCCAGGCTGGAGTGCAGTGGTGATATCTTGGCTCACCGCAACCTCCGCCTCCTGGGTTTAAGCCATTCTCCTGTCTTAGCCTCCCAAATAGATGGGATTACAGGTGTCTGCCACCACACCCAGCTAATTTTGTATTTTTTAGTAAAGACAGGGTTTCTCCATGTTGGTCGGGTTAGTCTCGAACTCCTGACCTCAGATGATTCACCCATCTCGGCCTCCCAAAATGCTGAGAGTACAGGTGCGAGCCACCACGCCCAGCCAATTCATTTGGATTTTCTACATCCAAGATGTTGTGGGTAACCCTCCAGAGACAATAAACCCCTCTCCCAAAATTTGAATGAGATATTGAGATGCCAAACTACTGAGATGTACTAAAAGGATGCCAAAAGGGTTATTATACTCATAATGAGGCTTTGAGGGAGACCAAGGCACGGTCCCAATCATGTCCCAGAATGGCTTGAGAGCCTGAAGGGTGAGTGACTGGCTTGTGGTTTTACACTGGTTAGAAGGTGGGGCTAGAGCAAGAGTTCCCTCACGTAGGTCTGAGCCTGCATGACTGAAACTTCCCGTTGGTGTCAATCAAGGTAGCACTTGGCTTTCTTATCAGCTTGCCAAGATGTGGGGCAAAAAGAGAAAGGGGAGAATTCCAGTTTCTGGTATGGCATATGAGAAGTTTAGAATTTAACATTTATTCCTAACAACAAGTAAAAAGCTAAACAAAATGAAAAACTGACAACTCTTCTTAAATCCGTCAAAGAAGTGAGATCATAGGTAAAATACTGCCCTCTAAATAGGAGAGACAGACAGATAAATACAGAGAATCACACCTTATTGGAGCAGAAATCCATGAGCAGAAGAAACCTCCATGGAAACCAGAACCAGAGAAGGAAAATGGTAAATTGCTGGAAGCTCAGTGTAGAACAGTCTAAGACCTAAAAACTGTAGGATGCCCAGTCATAGAGGGTTCTCACACTCCAGGAGCTCTACCAAGTTCTCCCAGTAAAGATCTGAGAAAAATCCCTCAGGCTTCCTACAGGGGGAGGAGAAAAGTAACCATATGGAAATATGCCAGAACATTCTGTTATTCTTACCAAGGCCTGCCCTCAAGATAAATGGTTTTGCACAGCCCAACCTATTGGAGTTTTGTCAGAGATTAACCAACTAGGGGAATACCCAAATGCAACCTGCTCTAGTCTCCCATGTGGAAGAAGGGAAATATGCATTCCAACCCACTGTAGTATCCTGTTCCACCAAAGGAGAGAAAAAAACTGAAAAGCACTTGTGAAGTTAACATTTCAGAGGCACAGGCTCACTAAAAGACTAAGAACCTAATCACAGGACTGTAACACATTTTCTCTTTCCCACATCTTAATATCAAATTACTAAAGACCTATTTACTACAATTCTTTTTACCCAGGTACATCATGTCTAGCTATCAAGAAAAAACTTACAAGGCATACTAAAAGGAAAAAGCAGTTTGAAGAGACCAAGCAAGTAAGACCAACAGAGGAAGCACCAAAACCACACTCAGACATGGTGGGGATACTGGACTTATCACACGAAGAGTTTAAAGCAACTATGACTAATATGCTAAGGGCTCTAATAGATAGACAGTACTCAAGAACAGATGGGCAATATAGGCAGAGAGATGGAAATTCTAAGAATCAAAAGAAAATGATAGCAATAAGACAAATTAAAAAACCCATTGTAACAGAATTGAAGAATAGTAGACTAGACACAGCTGAGTAAAGAATCCCTGAAATTGAAGACATATTAACAGACACTTCCAAAACCAAAAGACAAAGAGAAAAAAGATGGGGACCTCCCCCACCAAAAATGAACAAACAAACATAGAACAAAACATCCAAGAAGTGTGAGACAATTACAAAAGGTAAAACATACGTATATTAGAATACCAGAAGTGAAAGCTAAAGAAATCTTTGAAACAATAACTGAGAATTTATCCTAAATTAAGTCAGACAACAAACTGCAGATCCAAAAAGTTCAGAAAACACCAAGCACAGCAAATGCTCCTCAACATTACACCTGAGCATATCATTTTCAAACTGCAAAAAATCAAAGACAAAGAAAAAAATAGTAAAGTATGTGAACAGAGGGCAAAGACATCTAAATAGAACTAAACAAAGGAAAATGGCTAGGGAGAACTTTCTAGGGAAGCTGGGGCTGACAAATGATCTAGTCTTTGAAAGATAAGGTTAAGTAATTGTGGTAGTGATAAAGTGTATTCAAGAGGGACTGATTCACAAAAGGCAAGAAGATGCTGGGAAATCCAAGGAGATCGTAAAGTGAAAGCAAAAGAGTGGTGCATGGAGGCCAGATCAAGAACTGACATTGAAGTGATGGGAAACTATGGAAGAATTTTAAACAGAAAAGTGGCAAAATTATATTCATATTTTAAAAATGTAACTAGGTTAGAGGGAGAGCACATCAAGATTAGAAACAGGGAAGATATGATAGTAGCAGTGGGGAAAAAAGAGGTGAAAGATTCCATATATATTTAGTGAGTATAGTTACTAGGAGTAGAAGTGGAAAGAGAATAAAGAGCAAAATCATATCATTCCTTGGTTACTGGTTTTGACTTTTTTTTTTTTTTTTTTTTTTTTTTGTGAGACAGGGTCTCATTCTGTTGCCCAGGCTGGAAAGAGGTAACACAATCACAGCTCAGTGTAGCCTCAACCTCCTGGGCTCAAGCCAGCCTCCCACCTCAGCCTCCTGAGTAGCTGAGACTACAGGCATGAATCACCATGCCCAGTTAATTTTTGTATTTTTTGTAGAGACAGGGTCTTGCCATGTTGGTTGCCCAGGCTGTTCTCAAACTCCTATACTCAAGCAACCCGCCCACCTGGGCCTCCCAAAGTGCTGGGATTACAGGCATGAGCCACTGTGCCCCGCCTAGTTTTGACATTTAAGGGTAGATAACAGGCCGGGTGCGGTGGCTCAAGCCTGTAATCCCAGCACTGTGGGAGGCCGAGGCGGGTGGATCACGAGGTCAAGAGATCCAGACCATCCTGGTCAACATGGTGAAACCCCGTCTCTACTAAAAATACAAAAAATCAGCTGGGCGTGGTGGCGCGTGCGTGTAATCCCAGCGACTCAGGAGGCTGGGGCAGGAGAATTGCCTGAACCCAGGAGGCGGAGGTTGCGGTGAGCCGAGATCGCGCCATTGCACTCCAGCCTGGGTAACAAGAGCGAAACAAAAAAAAAAAAAAAAAAAAAAAAAAAAGAGTAGATAACAGAGAATGTAACACCAGGAGCAAGTAAGGAAGTAAAAGCGGGAAGACCCAGGTAAAAATGCTTGCAAATTTAAAAATAAAACATTCTGGCTGCTCCAATGCTACTAATGCCTATTTCTAGCTTTATATTTTCAAAAGTGTTCATTAAAATGTTGTTTGAGGATCAGGAAAAACAACTGATACCACTTTTAATACTTGGGTGATCAAAGAATCTTTATAGCAAACCTCCATGACATGCGTTCACCTAAGTAACAAACCTGCATATACTGCACATGTACCCTTGGACTTAAAGGTTAAAAAAAATGTTACGTTCAAATTGTGTATGTTTTCCCATGTGTGTACACACATACACAGAGAAGAGAGTACATGTAGTAGCAAGAAGATAAAGAAAGTGCGGTGAATAGTTAACAACGGATAAATCTTTGTGTGTGAAGGATAAAGCCTGTTCTTTGTATTATTTTTATTTTGCAACCTTTTGTAAGCTTATTTCCAAATAAAACATTTAAAAATGGTTATGTTCAGAATACGTACGTGTCTTTGTACATAAGAGAATGTACATGATTTAGGCCGGATGCGTTGGCTCACACCTGTAATCCCAGCACTTTGGGAGGCTGAGGCGGGCGGATCACCTGAGGTCGGGAGTTCGAGACTAACCTGACCAACATGGAGAAACCCTGTCTCCACTAAAGATATAAAAAATTAGCTGAGCATAGTGGTGCATGCCTGTAATCCCAGCTACTTGGGAGGCTGAGGCAGGAGAATCACTTGAACCCGGGACCTGGAGGTTGCGGTGAGCCGAGTTCATGCCATTGCACTCCAGCCTAGGCAACAAGAGTGAAACTCTGTCTCAAAAAAGAAAAAAAAAAAAAAAGAGAGAGAATATACATGATTTAATGAGTGATTTGAGTATATATGGCAGTGAATTTACCTTTCTGAAATGAATGCTCATTTTAAAATTATTTTTTAAATCTGACAAGTAAAAATTATACACATAAGGTATACAATTGGTGTACAATATGTTTTGAAATATGCATATATTGTGGAATGGCTAAATCAAGATAATTAACATATACATCACTTCATGTACCATTTTTTGAGGTGAGAATACTTAAAATCTACTTTTTTTTTTTTTGAGATGGATTTTCTCTCGTTACCCAGGCTGGCGTGCAATGGCATGATCTCAGCTCACTGCAACCTCCGCCTCCTGGGTTCAAGCAATTCTCCTGCCTCAGTCTCCTGAGTGGCTGGGATTAAAGGTACCCACCACCACACCTGACTGTTTTTTGTATTTTTAGTAGAGATGGGGTTTCACCATGTTGGCCAGGCTGGTCTCGAACTCCTGACCTCAGGTGATGCACCCATCTTGGCCTCCCAAAGTGCTGGGATTATGGGTTTGAGCCACCATGCCCTGCCAAAATCTACTTTTTAAAAGCAATTTTGAAGTATACAATACACTGTTATTAACCACGGTTACCATGTTTTACATGGAACTCTTCAACTTATTCCTCTTGTCTAAATGAAATTTTGTAACCTTTGACCAACATCTTCCCAACCCCATATCCAGTCCCCGGTAATCACCATTGTACCTTCTATTTTTAATGCTCTTTTAAAAGAAGATGTATATACTAGAGGCAGAGAGCTTTAAAATAAAATCCAAGTTCTTACCATAAAATATCTAGTCCCCTATAGTCCTCACCAATCTCATCTCAAGCTACTCCTCCCCTCACTCACCAGGTTATTAACCTGCTTTTGAGGAAATGTATTACCTTAGAGCCTTCCCCCTTGACGTCCCCTCTTCCTTGCAAGGCTTGTTCCTTCCTGTTCTTTGGATATCAGCTCAAATGTCACTGCCTCAGAACGGCCTTCTCTGACTACCCTGTCCATATGAGATTCTGTTGTTTCACCGTGTTATTACTTTCTATCACAGCAACCTGTTTTATCACATACATATTAGACACTAAAATCCAGAGAAAGAAAGGGCCTTGCTATTTTGCTCATTGAGTATACCACGGGTGAAGCACAACACTGTCTATAAACACATTTTGCATGAATGTTGATGAGATGTGATGGGAAGCCAACCAAAGAATTCAGTAGTTCTAAGTCTTCATATATTTTCTAAGCTATATTTGAGAAGATTGAAAAATATAAACAAAAATGTCTTACCTCCTGCAATTACAAAATGGCTTACGGCATTTTTATTTCGGTATACATTCAGACCAGCGTTCACTGTGCTAGGAAAAAGTGAGAAGGAAAATATAATATTTAAAGCATATCCCATTTATCTTTTTGAGTGTTATTTTTGCAGACTTAATAGATTTAGAAAAGCCTACTGTATCAAGTCTCTGGTCCTAGCCTAGGCCCCTTCAATGTGTTCCAGACATGGATGTAAAACCATAACTACACCAGTCTTTTATATAAACAAAAGTTCTTTAAAAAAAGGTATTATGAATCACTTTCATGTGGGTATTCAGTTTTCATAATCCCACCCGCTCATAAGACACACTTCTAAAACAATATCAAGAAAATTCACCATCTCACAATTCAGAGTGAACTTACTTGAATGTAGTCACAAACACTGCAGTTCTCCAACTCCAGCGCCAGCCATACCGAATGAAGCCTCGTGTGGCAGCACGATGTGCACATTGCTAAAGTTAATTAAAAAAACTGTGAGGTTCCAAGACACCATCATATTTTCCTTATTCTAGAACTGTGGTAGAGGAATTTTAGCTATGGATTAGTCAGGTACACCTAAACAGACAGAAATACTAGAAAATCTCTAGAAACATTATACTTAAGTATTGAGGCTTAAGTTCCACGTGTACCCTATCAGGAGATGGAAAATGGTTGAATGTCCCTTATCTGATATTTGAGACCAGAAGTGTTTTGGATTTTGGATTTTTTCACATTTGGGAATATTTGCATTTAACACTTACTGGTTGAGCATCCCAAATCCAAAAAACTGAAATCTGAAATGCTCCAATGAGCAACTCCTTTGAATGACATGTCGATGCTCAAAAAGTTTTGAATCTGAGCATTCAGGATTTTAGATTTGTGATGCTCAACCTGTAACGAATTATAAATCTACAATATAAAATAAGAATCCATGAGTCCCTACTGATAGAAATAAATTATAAAGAGATATATAAATAAGTAAATAGAGGGGGAAGGGAAAATAATTCCTTAGAGCATAATACTAAGCAATAAATGTAGAAAGAATGATAGACTTTAGAAAATGCCCATTTGGTCAACATAGTCATATCTGTTTCAGGCAAGAATCATCATTAAATGCTAAAACTTCCTGGGTATAGTGGCTTATGCCTGTAATCTCAGCACCTGGGAGGCAACAAGGGAGGATTGCTGAAGCCCACAAGTTCAAGACCAGCCTGGGCAACACAGTGAGATACTGTCTCTACAAAAAAAAAAAAAAAAAAAAAAATTTAAAATTAGCTGAGCATGGTGGTATGCATTTGCAGTCCTAGCTACTCAGAAGGCTGAGTTGGGAGGAAAGCTTAAGTCCAGAAGTTTGAGGTTGCAGTGAGCTTTGATCGTGCCACTGCACTCCAGCCTGGGTAAAACAGCAAGACCCTGCCTCAAAAAAAACATAGATATAGATATAGATATACAGATAGATAGATAGATAGATAGATAGATAGATACTAGGCTTAATACTTGGGTGATCAAAGAATCTGTATAGCAAACCTCCATGACACACATTAACCTAAGTAACAAACCTGCAAATCCTGCACATGCACCCCTGTACTTAAAGGATAAAAAAAAGTTACGTTCAAATTGTGTATGTGTTTTCCCATGTGTGTACACACACACACAGAGAAGAGGGAGAGTACACATAGTAACAAGAAGATAAAGCAAGTGCAGTGAATTGTTAACAATGGATAAATCTCTGTATGTGAAGGATAAATCTGTGTGTGTGTCTGTGTGTACATACATATATATATATATGGCTGGGCACAGTGGCTTACACCTATAATACCAACACTTTGGGAGGCCAAGAAGGGCATGGTGCGTCAGGAGTTTGAGACCAGACTGGGCAACATGGCCAAAACCCTGTCTCTACAAAAAAATTAGCCAGGCATGGTGGCACATGCCTATAGTCCCAGCTACTTGGGACGCTGAGGCAGGAGAATTGTGTAAGCCTGGGAAATGGAGGTTGTGGCGAGCCAAGATTGTGCTACTGCACTCCAGCCTGGGTAACAGAGTGAGACCCTGTGTCAAAAAAAAAAATGAATAAATAACTTTTTAAAAGAAATTAAAAAACTATAAATGCCAAAATAGCATTTGATGAAAATAAATTTGATGAAAAGTAGGATATTTACATAGTCTCAAAGGAACTAACAAGTACTCAAAATACTTATAAATTACAAAAGCAAAACAGTAATTTTACAGGGTATAATTGGCAGAGGCCATCTTAACCAAGTAACTAAAGTAAACATCACCAGTAAAGGAACAAAGATATCACATGCTTCTGATTTAATATCAGTTCTAGGGTATTCCTATCAAAAAACATAGCCTGAATGCAATCATGAGAAACCATCAAACAAACCCAAATTGAGGGATATTCTACAAAATAAATTACCCATAGCCAAGGCCATGAAAAATAAACAAACAACAACAACAACAACAAAAAAAAAAACCAGAGAAACTCTTCCAGACTAAATGAGACCAAAGCTGCATGACAAGCAAATTCAACAGATTCTGGACTACCAAAAATTTTTTTAAATTAATTTTTTAATAAGAACTCAAGCCTAACTTCTGAATAAAAATTTTTTTAAATTTATTTTTAAAATAAATCATATTGTGGGATAACTAGCAAAATTTACAATTCTTTAAATAAGATAATAGTACTATATCAGTGTTAATTTCCTGATCTTGATATTATAATAGTGGTTATATAAGAGAATGTTCTTGTTTTTACGAAAAACACACCGAAGTCTTCATTATGTCTATAACCTATTGTCAAGTAGGTCAGAAAAAATTAATACATATTATATAGAGGGAGAATGATAAAACAAACATGGTAAAATGTTAACAGTGGAGAATCTGGATGAAAGGTATATAGGAAATCTTTGTTCTATTTTTGCAACTTTCAAGCCTGCCATAATTTCAAAAGAAAAAGTTAAAAATGTTCACCCACTTTCATCCTAGCTGAATTAAAAGGGAGGAAAAAAAAGAATAAAGAAAAAGTTAAAAATTATCTGAGCTTGAGCCGGGTGCGGTGGCTCATACCTGTAATCTCAGCACTTTGGGAGGCTGAGACAGGCGGATCACAAGGTCAGGAGATAAAGACCATCCTGGCTAACAGTGAAATCCTGTCTCTACTAAAAATGCAAAAATTAGCTGGGCATGGTGGCACATGCTAGTCCCAGCTACTCGGGAGGCTGAGGCAGGAGAATTGCTTGAACCCAGGAGGCAGAAGTTGCAGTGAGCCAAGGTGGTGCCACTGCACTCCAACCTGGGTGACAGAGCAAGACTCCATTTAGAAAAAAAAAAATTTCTGAGCTTTAATATTGTCACAGATGAACTGATGTACAGATCTAATGATGTAACAAATAAGTTAGCACTCCATAAACTGTAAAGTTATAAATGTTAAATATTGCTTTAGTGTGAGCTAGTATACTCATGGAGGCTTTATGAATGAGGTAAACATGTTACAGTTGAGCCTTGATGATTTAGCAGGGGATTGGAAGAAATGTATTTCAGAAAGAAAAGCCACGGTGGTGATGCCAAACATGCCTGTTCTGAAGATAAGAAAGTAGTCTCTCAATCCACATGTAGGCACTTTAGCATTAGTACTTTCACTGTAACTAAGTATAGACTTTATTTCTTTACTCTGACATCTTAAAACAACCCTCCATCCCCACAGCCTAATTGAATGATTACGTGTAAAGTGAATTGCTAAGTCAGTGTGCCCCAAATTCCTTTAGACCACCAATACATACCACAGCATCAAGCCGGCTATGATAAATTTCTGCCTGGCTTTGCTCAATGTATCGTTGTTTAGCATTAACAAAACCTGGTACTCCTCCATACACCATGCCAATGATGCCTGCTGTCAATGCCGCCTTACAGATATCAGTAAGTTCTTTTGAAAGTTTCTGCTGTTCACTACAACATCAAAAAGACAATGTTGTTTGGAATTAATTTATGGACATTGCTCTCCAAAAACTCTATAATCAGAATTATCCCAAATGCTAACACTACATTTTTCATCATAGGCAGAATCCACAGATGAATAAAACAGTTCAGCTATATTAAAAGGAACGTAAGTCTCAGGCAAAACTAAGCTATGCTGTTAGAATTAGGATAGTGGCAACTCCTGAAAAGACAATGACTGGAAAAGGCACAAGGGGAGCTTTTGTGATGTTATAATAGTTGCCATTTCTTTCTGAGTGTTGGATATAGCTATGTTCAGTTTGTGAAAACTCATTCATCAGTATACTTATGTACATTTCATCAAATGCATTTCGTACTCCAATAAAAATTTTAAAGGTGTTTTTATTTGATGACTATTACACCTATACATTACCCTATAAACAGGAAAATTTGTGAGCTGGATAGAGAGACCAATATTTCCCTGTTGGCTCACGCCTGTAATCCCAGCACTTTGGGAGGCCGAGGCGGGTGGATCATGAGGTCAAGAGATAGAGACCATCCTGGTCAACGTGGTGAAACCCCGTCTCTACTAAAAATACAAAAAATTCGCTGGGCATGGTGGCACGTGCCTGTAATCCCAGCGACTCAGGAGGCTGAGGCAGGAGAATTGCCTGAACCCAGGAGGCGGAGGTTGCGGTGAGCCGAGATTGTGCCATTGCACTCCAGCCTGGGTAACAAGAGCAAAACTCCGTCTCAAAAAAAAAAAAAAAAAAAAAAAATTTAAGCTAACTTTTAGAAATCACACCAACTGGTGACATTTTAGGGCAATGTATCAAAGAATAAAAACGTGGATGTAAGGCAAAAAATCTAAACTCTATTTTACTAAATAATTTCATGAAATATTCTGATAGGGGTGTATTAATAAAAGCATTGGGCTGAGCACAGTGTCACATGCCTGTAGTCACAACTACTTAGAAGACTTATTCAGGACTTGAGCCCAAGAGTTCAGGTCCAGCATAGCAACACAGCAAAGATCCTGGCTCTAAAAGTAAACAAACAAATAAACAAATGCTTTTTAAAAGACGCACTGGAAAAATTCACTATGCAGTGCGTGGCACATGCCAATCTAAAGTAACAAGGAAAAGCTACAATTTAATTCAATTTACTACTCTCAAATGCATAAGAAGCTAGAACTGCTAATGGAGCTTCCAAGAGGTCATCCTGAAACTGATCTAACAAATAGCTGTCTGTAGTATTAAGTTACTATAAAATAATTGCCCTTCTAGGCCAGATGCAGTCCAGCCCAGATGGCTCACGCCTGTAATCCCAGCACTCTGGGGGGCGGAAACAGGTAGATTATTTGAGGTCAGGAGTTTGAGACCAGCGTGGTGCCTGTCTCTACTAAAAATACAAAATTTAGCAGGGCGTGGTGGTGGGTACCTGTAATCCCAGCTACTAGGGAGGCTGAGGCAGGAGAATCACTTGAACCCGAAGATGGAGGCTGCAGTGCACTGAGATTGAACCACTGCACTCCAGCCTGGGTGATAGAGAAAGTCAATCTCAAAAAAATCAAAAATAAAAAAGGTACAAGTTTGGGCCGGCTCGGTGGCTCACGCCTGTGATCCCAGCACTTTGGGAGGCCAAGGCTGGAGCATCACCCAAGTCCAAGAGTTCATAACCAGCCTGGCCAACATGGCACGAACCCTCTCTACAAAAAATACATTTTAAAAAGTTAGCCGGGCGTGGTGGCCCGCGCCAGTAGTCCCGGTTACTCAGGAGGCTGAGGTGGGAGGTTCACTTGAGTCCAAGAGGTAAATGTTGTAGTGAGCCGAGATCGCACCACAGCACTCCAACCTGGGTGACAGAGCAAGATCATGTCTAAAAAAAAAAAAAAAAAAAGACAAAAAAAAAGAGACATAAGCTTGGATTACAATGATCAGAACCCCAAATATAATTTTTAAAGGGAGCACACCATCCTTGGCGTCCTAAGGCTGACCCAGGCTACCAAGGCTCCAGGACATCGCTTTCGCAGTCGCCCACCCCACCTCAGACCCTAGGCACTTTTACTCTTTGAGAAACAGCTCCCGGAGGCGGTCCCATCCGGATTCCGGGTAACAGGGCTCTGGGACGACGGTAGGCGGCCACTGACGCTCCGCAAGGGCCTCTGAATCGGCAGTCACAGGTTCGGCAGCAAAGACTCGGGGGAAAGGACCCAGTGCTCTACAGAGGAAGCTCCGCGATGCCGGTGGCGGCACCTCCTTGGCCTTCTCTCGACCTACAGACAGACACGGTGGCGGCACCTCCATGGCGTTCTCTCGACCTACAGACAGACACACTTGGGCGCTCAGGACTTCAAGTCCTCTCGGACTTGCCGTGGGACAGCGTAACTGTACAAGGTGAGAACCCGTGCATTTGGACAAGGCTAACCCTCGGCCGGAGAGGTTGACACGCGCGACTTCAGTCCTGGGCTTGACTTTGGAGTCCTTGCAAACAAGAGAGAGGAAGTCCCGCCCGACCGGGGCAAAGGCCAGAGGCCACGGCAACGGCAAAGCCGGAGCCCAAAACACTTCCGGTTGATGGCGGGTGTGGCCACTGCTGTGCTCAGCCCACCCCCGGAAGTGAGTTGGCCGCTACAGGTGAAGAAGCTCAGCGTGATCCCGGCAGGCCTTTGCTCCGAGTCTCAGTGGCTCCTGGGTCATGCCAACGGAGTCTGCGGCTGGTTACGTTCAGCTCGAGGTAGTAACAGGTTAAAGTAATTTCGCGTAATAAAAATGCCAGAAATCCCGCTTAAATGAGGAAGAAAGTGCAATATTCAAGTGCAAGTGGAGTACGGAAAGAGGGAAAGGCGATTTGTGCAAAAACAAGTCCAACCTACTCTGCCAGCATTCGAGAAGCCTTCCAGGCTGGGCGGGGTCCGTTTGTACCTTGTCAGTTCTGTTTCCTAAAAAAACGAGCCATTGGAAATGGGTCTTGGTGCCAGTTACACCAAGATTTCGAGAACACTTTTTTGAAGGATCAGCTTTTTGGCAGGTCTTCAAGATAAGGTAGATTGCACTCCCTTTAGTTCATATGTGTGTACTGCTTCTCAAAAGGCAGGAAAATTTCTGGAATTTCTATCAAGCGTTTGATAGTCCAGTAAGAATTTCCCTTCACTACCTCTGCTAACATATGCTTCGAAGTATAGTTTTCATTAAAATGAATGCATTTTAAATATTCTCAGTATTTGTGTAATTTCATTATACTAAGAAGCATATTCCCTTACTGCCAATCCCGTCACCTTCTTTATTCCTTTCTAGTTGTAAATCATAATTGCCACACTGTAGTAGTAGTAGTGTGGTAGTGTACAGTAAGTAGACTTACGGATTTTGATAGCTGGAAATTCTACACATAAGTCCCCAAGAAGTGGCTGACTAGAGTTACCAGCTGAATTAGCGACAGCTCCATGAAAACTACTCTGGGAGACAAGATTTGATTCAGCACCCATCGTAGCACTCATTACACTGCATCATAATTTCCTATTTGTTAATCTGTCTCAATAAACTATCCTTGAGGTCAGAGACCAAATATATTCATCTCTGTACCTCCAAGACCTAGAACCGTGGTCGGTGCTCAGTATTTGTTGAATGGATAATTCAGATCCCCTGACTTCTGGCTCTGGGTTGCTGCTTATCCCATGTTAGGTAGAGGTGGGCACCAAGATAAGCTACCAAGGCCTGAAAGCCCAAGAAAATGGCTGTACAGTCTGTTTCTAACCTATATGTGGAAAAGCTAAATGCTTAAGACGACCCCAGAATTATTCTGGGATGAGGGAGGACTTGAAATGGGTAGGAGGGTTTGGGTAGGTATTGGGAAGATACTGATGAAATCCTTTATATACAGCTCAAATGCCCCAGGATTTACTAGCCTGTAGATGAGGTTATATTAACAGGCAAATTTTAAACTCCGTAACTTGTTTCTCCTTTGGGTAACTGAAGACTAATTTGTAAGGTTCCTTTTGCTACCTAATACCTTAAAAAAAGTCCCCAGTCCTTTGGCTGCTGCTCACACTGTTGCTGCTCTTCCATCTGAGCCCTCCCATGTTTCCTACTTCCCCAATCCCTTAGGACTTACCTTCTTTTACCATGAGGGAAATACTCACCCTCCTCTGTAGTTTGCTTTTTCTTTTCTTTTTTTTGGATACAGTCTTAGCTCTGTCACCCAGGCTGGAGGACAGTGGCATGATTTTGGCTCACCACAACCTCTGCCTCCTAAGTTCAAGTAATTCTTGTGTCTCAGCCTCCCAAGTAGCTGGGATTATAGGCATGTGCCACCACCCCCAGCTAATTTTTGTATTTTTAGTAAAGATGGTATTTCACCGTGTTGGCCAGGCTGGTCTGGAGTTTTCCTGGCCTCAAGTGATCTGGCCGCCTAAGCCTTCCAATGTGCTGGGATTACAGGTGTGAGCCACTGTGCCCAGCCCTGTAGTCTTCTTTTTGAAGGTTCTCAGATCAACACAGTCTAATCCAGGAGTGTCCAATCTTTTGGCTTCCCTGGGCCACATTGGAAAATGGAGAATTATCTTGGGCCACAAATAACACTAAATGTAGCTGATGAGCTAAAAAAAAAAAAAAAAAAAAGTTCATGCATACATCTCATGTTTTAAGAATGTTTGCAAATTTGTGTTGGGCCACATTCAATGCTTTCCTTGGCCACCTGCAGCTCATGAGCCATGGGTTGAACAAGCTTGGTCTAAGGCAAAAGGTGTTACGGGGTTTACTGGACTGTTTCACACACGGCTGGCTTGTCCCCAGGACTTGTGTTTGCCAGCAGGGAAGGATTTCAGTGCAATCAGCATATTGCTTGGAACACCATTCTTCTACCTTTAGCCCTTGTTGCTGAACTCTGTTTATAGAACCCAATAGTTTCTTCCCTCAGTGAATTTTTTCCCCAGGGGTTAGCAGGTTCCCTTTCCTGCCAGGCTCACCAAGTACTGCCCTTGCTACGTATTTTACATTTTGTTACATTATATAGAAAATTTTCCCACAGATAGAGAGAATGAATTTTGAGAACTCCAAAGACCATTTCATTTACTCATCCTTTGTGGTGTAAATTAATTTTTACCTCCACAAAGTTTCCCATCTGCTCCAGTTGGAAGTTTCTTCTTCTTCTAAACTCCAGATCCACGTTGTCTTCATGAATAATCAGCATTCCTGTTGCCTTAATCACCTTCCAAGTATGTGTGATGCCTCTCATATTGTTTATCATCTCAACAACACAGCCCCTTGAGGTTAGGGAGCCACTTGTGAACTTTCCTTGCCTCTGTGCATAGTAGATGCTTAAGAAGTATCTGGTAAGTATTAAATGAGTGACTTGTAAATGTAACTCTGTGTTCATCCACAACATCTTACCTCTGGATGCAGTAAGATTATCCTAAGAGAGGGTATCTTTAGATGCATGTAATAATAGACTTTTGTGCATCTGTGCTTTCTTTTTTTTTGGAAAAAGGGTCTCACTCCCATTGCCCAGGTGGGAGTGCAGTGGCATGATCATGGCTCATTGCTGCCTCAACATCCTGAGCTCATGCTATCCTCCTGCCTCTTTTTTTTTTTTTTTTCTGTAGAGCCAAGGTCTCACTATATTGCCCAGGCTGGTCTTGAACTCCTGGGAGTAAGTGATCCTTCTGCCTCAGCCTCCTAAAGAGCTGTGATTACAGGTATAAGCCACTGTGTCTGGCCTGTTTGTGTTCTTGTTTGTAGTCAGTATACAGGTTAAGTGTAGGGAGCTCTTGGAGGTGACTCAAATGAGCCCATTAAATTTTTTGCTCTTGGGAATTTTGGGCTGAGACAGAGCCTAATAGGCAATGGAACTACATTATAGCAGCACCCTGGAAACAGTCAAAATTATTGCTGAGATTCCTGGAGGTGCCCTTGCTTCTGTCCTTCTAACCACTATGAAACTTGTTTAGATTCCACAAGATGCTCTCATATCCTTCTAGTAAGTTACTTTGCTTAAACTAGCTAGAGGCAGTTTCTGTTCTTGACAACTAGGAAAATCTGACTGGATATAGCAGAATAAGGTGAGTCACTGACAGCACATAGATAACACTCCCAAAATAAATAAAGAAAAAGCATTATTTGTGTTATCTAAGTATCCTGTTTCATTCAAATAAACTATTCTTTCCTTGATGAAAAGCATGGCCATTAGGTCTCTGAAAAGGAAAGGGTAAGTTTGGGACTAAATTATTAATAATGACAACAAAACCTTCAAAAGTTGTGGGGATACGAATTATTTTCAAAAACAAACATTTTACACAGTTACACACCATCCTCATATCATCTACACTGAGATAAACAGACAAGTACAAAGTCTGAATAACATTCGTTATATTTAAAGACAAAGATGCCCTTATTGGTCCTTCAAGGGCAGGTGAGGATTTACATGGATCCAGTTCTTACAGTTTTATCTAATTGTCCTTTGGAGCCAATAATAATCTGTATATAGGATCTAGTTAAGCCAACTGTCTCCATTCCTCCATCTGTCCACCCACCCAACAGTTCTTTGGGATCTACTCTGTGTGAGGCACTGTGCTGGATCATGGAGACATCAAGATGAGTAAAACTAGATTCTCACATGTTAATAAGCTCACAGAACAGTAGGAGAGACAGTCAAGCAATTACAGTGATGGCATATAATACAGGCATAAGCAATGTACTATGGTAGCCCCTAACTGCCTTGAGGAATGAATGAAAGGAGTCAGAAAGAAGGTGACGTTTGAGGTGTAACTTGAAGCTAAATGGGAAACATTTCCAGGGAAATGAATCTTCAGCTCCTAATCTAAAAGAGCAAATTTTGTTTCTATTTTAATGAGAGGAAATTAAAACACAGAGAGAATGATTACACCTAGTAGGACCTCATAGTGATCAGGCAAAACCATAGTACAACTCAGAAATCTGAACTGCCTATTGCTAGACTCATAGCACCTGAGGACACGGTCCCTATGCATTGCTAGTACTCGGGAAAAAAAAATCCAACTTTAAACATCTACTTATTCCATGAAATGATCTTACCAGGGATGTTCAACCTCTCTAAAAAGGTCATTAGACTTAAAATTTTGTGGAAAGCAGTTTAAAAAGCCAAATACATTGCTGACAAATGGAATGTCTGATTTTATGTGACTGAATCTCACATTTACTAATTCTGAAACTAGTTAATACCAAATAGTTCTTAAGAGGCAAAGGTGATTTCTCCGTGGAAAGATTGGGTCTAAGAGTCAAGGATAGTTCTAAGTCATCAGACTCCAGAGTTTTAATCTCAACATTTTTCTTCATTTTCTACTATGTTAGAAAGAGAGGTTAAACTACTAAGCAAAATGTCTTTTTAAAAAAATGAAAAAGGAGTCACTCCATCATGGATTTATACTAAAACAAATATCTTCTATATATTTGAAGTTGAATGCTCTAAACTACCAACCAAATGGCACGTTTACATATGAAGACTCCTTGTGGTTCCTGCAAGACAGAGTGTGAATGACCTCTGCTGTGGCCAATTTAAGAAGGAAAAATATTAAAGGTGTGCAAAGGGTGAGGAAGAGCGGCTGCTCTATGTATAGTTCTACTAAAGAATGAGGAATACTTCCTAAATTTATTAAGAGGGTTTTGTCTTCTTTTTTCTTTAGAGAGACATTAAGAAGTAGGGCATGAAGGCACAAAAAGGGAACGTGAAATCCAATTACAATAATTACGCATGCAATTGGCCTCTTTCTGTGGCATTATAGAAACCTCCTGAGTAACAGAGTTTATGCTTTTACAAAAGAGAACTCCTACATCATTGCATGGCATGGCTACTGCTTCCTTAGACGGTTCAGAGAAGGATCCCCAAGTATTTTTCATAAACCCCATAGGGTTTCCTACATTAAAATAAAGCAACAGAGAATCATGCCTAGAATAATTTCACAATTCCAGCAATGAGTTGTACTACTTCCAAATGATGAATTTTCTGCTCCAAATAATGGGACAAAGGGCATCATCACATGGACACAGTCAATTTCACAGTGATGGACACACACAGATGGATGACCTGAGGCACAAGCAGTGATTGGTCTTAAGAAAATGAAAGGTAGAGTTGGGTTCAAAATCCACATCTCATGATTTCTGGTCCTTATTCATCCAAAAAGTTGAACTGCTTCATATCAGTGTATTAGACACATTTTAAATCTTTCCCAAGAATTGCTCTGAGTGCAGCATGATAAGGAAAACCAGGTATTTGGCTTGGTAACAGGTATTCAAAGTATGGGTGCCCAGCTTATGGTAAGCTTCTCACCATAGGATATCTGAGATCTGTTGCTACAGAGAGGACTGTGGTCCTATGGTGACTACTATAGTTCAGTTTTCAACATTTTGGGAATAATCTGATCATAACCTTTCCTTCTTGTTACATTGTAAGACAAGAATTTAGAGTATTCAGTCAAGAGGTTCTCCCAGTAACAGGTGATGTCATCCATCTGCAAGTGGTTCCTAATAAACTGGCTTCCCCTAGAGACAAGATTTAACAAGGAAATGTTAAAGCACAAAATTTAATAAAAGTCTACATTTGAGTGCTTACCTTGTGCCAAGCATTATTCAGGGTACTTTATATACATTAATTCATTTGAGCCTCAAGAACCAACCCTCTGGCAATCATACATGCATGCATCCACATACATGCATGTAGCAATAGAACTTAACATCATTTTTCTTTAAAAGAAGCATATAAACAGCCAATGTTCATAAAAAGTACCTGTTTACCTCAAAGATTTCAGTCTACCTCTATAAAGCTTGGCATAGGTAGGCATGTGTATATGTTTTCCCCCAGGACAGCTTTAGTTCTGAATTATCTCCATATAATGAGGATGAAATATAGATATCACTATGGTAAGAATATTCAGATAACTTTAGCTAGGGCATAATGGGGATGATAAAGTGGAAAAGGGAAAATGAACAGAACTCACCTTTCAGCAATCTCTTGAGCTACATCATCATTTGCTTTTACAAATTGTAACAGCTCTCTAAAATGAAAAGAATTATTAGACTCTGAAATATAGACCAACTTCATTAGCATGAAGTCAGAAAGACCATATAGATTGAGGTCTATGGATAATTTTAGATATGTGAATGGTGAGTTATTTCTTTAAAGCAAAGATATCAGGGTCCTCTCAAGAACAAAATAATAATAATAAAAAAAGCTCATATACTGATTAAAGGCAGCCTATAGTAGATTTGGGGCATATTTGAGAAAATACAGAAGTTTCTCTCTCTCTCTCTCTCTCCATATATATATATATATATATAAAGAGTGAAATATAATTTCCATCCTTTTCTCCAAATTCTTGCTCTGGGCACCAGAAGAGTGAAGTGGGTTCACATTTCTGGCCCTTCTGTCTACCTCTTCCTAACTCCTCCCATCATGACAGGAAATTTGCCTAAGCTTCACTTGAGACAATTCTCATGCTGTATCTGAAAATCCTTTTGACAATATAATAAGATTGAATATCCCTGTCTTTAGTCTTCAAGAGATAAGAGCATTTTCACTTCATTTTGTCTGAATGTTTCATTTGAAACCAGTATTAAAGCACTTTTTCAAATTAAATTCCACTTATAGCCTACTTGGATAATAATGCCATACTATATGTGCAAACCAAGGGGAAAAAAAGCTTTCAATGGAAAAAAATCATAGGACTAAATGTGTTCCATGACTGGTTTTAAGGCATTTACACAGTTATTGAATTTTTTAAAGCAGATTGCAAGGGTCTTTAGAAAGTCTTCATTGGTAGATAACTGCTTACTGGACATTGGAGAGATCTGTTTTGACTGGGATATAGTGAACCCATGGCTTCAGTTGTGGATAGAAGAACTCTAGCCACTCATCACCAACATGGAAAACAAGTGAACCACACAGGAAGAGATGTTTAAACCGGAAACTTGCAGCTACACCCCGAAAATTAAACAGATACCTGGGGAAAAAAGAACAAAATACATTTGATACTATATGTCTGCTGCCACAAATATGACCTTTTATGCTTATTCTCTCCTCCCCTTGTTTCCTTTTATGATTCCTCTCCATTCTCTTTCCATTTTGAGTTTTCAAGGACACATTAGTATGTTCCCAACAGGTTTCTATCAATTCCTTGCTTGACCAGGGCTAGGACTACAGGTTGCTCTCGGAATGCCAGAGTGAGGAAAAATAGGGGATATTTTCTCTAGACAGAGCTAGATAGGGTCAGGAGCTAGGTGCCGGGTAGAGTGGATACAGGACTCAGAAGGAAATGACAGCTTGTTGTAGATTTGGAACATATTTGAGAAAATAAATGTTCAATGGTAAACATAAAATATAAAGAGTGAAACATATTTCACAAGCCTTTCTAGGCCTAATGTCTCTAACTAGTCATAAGCTCCCAAAGCTTTATTTTTCCTCTAGTGTACTCCATCTGGTCAAAGGTCTCCACTGCTTCCTGGACATCACCTTCTTCTCTTGAAGTATAGAGTAGTGGTCCCCAACCAGTTTCATAGGAGACATTTTTTCCATGGATGGGCAGTGTCGGGAGATGGTTTTGGTTGAAACTGTTCCACCTCAGATCATCAGGCATTAGTTAGATTCTCATAAGGAGCACGCAACCTAGATCCCTTGCATGCGCAGTTCACAATATGGGTTGTGCTCCTATAAGAATCTAATGCCAAGGCCGATCTGACAGAAGGCAGAGCTCAGGCGGTAATGCTCGCTTGCCCAGTGCCTAACAGACCAGTACCACGGCCCAGGGGTTGGGAACCTCTGATATGCAGAGGAGAATGATGAAAACCTAATCAGTTTTCAAAGAAATGCCCATGGGGGTGGGAGGAAGCTGTCTTCTCAGCATTTCTTGTGCATGCTCCTGTCTCCAAGCAGAGTTGCTTTTATCATGTGGTTGCTACTCTGTCTGTCACTGGCACTCTTATCTCTGAGCCACCCTTACCACCACTGTCCTCCTCTAGACCTGGTTTTACCTGTTCATCTAATTCTTAGTCCCAGAATTTTATTTTATTTCTCTTAGAGACAGGATCTCACTATGTAGCCCAGGCTGGTTTTAAACTCTTGGGCTCAAAGGATACTCCTACCTCAGCCTTTCGAGTAGCTAAGACTACAGGAGCATGCCACCATACCAGGATAATAATTCTAATATTTATTAATCAGAGAAATATTTATTCTAACTTCAACTATTGGGTGGGTGGGACATATGGAGAGGTAATTCCATTACTGTGATTACTAACACGCAGCTGTCTGGACGCAGGAACTATGTTCCATTCTTCTCTACAGTCCCTGCAGAACTCGGGTCAGTGCACATAGGCCCTCAGGAAAAGCCAGTGAAATGAATTAGTGCAACTTTCATACACTGCAGCTGGGCCATTATATTAAAGTTCTCACCCAAAGTGAAGCTATTTCAAAAGCAATATGGAAACCAAGAGAGTCAGGAGTCCTGGAAATCTTACTTGTATTTGCAGTGATCCACAAGATGGACATCCTTAGCAGCAGGCTTTCCTAAGGTATCCTTTAATTGGAAAGGACATTATTAGTATTAGCAGCAACAGCATTTATTGGTGATCACTGTGCAGCAAGCATTGTTAAACATTTCATCAACATTACCTCATTTAAGCTTCATAATCAACATACACAGGAGACATTATTATTTCCATTATATAAATGCAGAAGCCAAGGCTCAAAATGTGGCTCTAAATGGATGAGCCAGGGTTTTATCCAGGGCCTGGTCTGATTTTAGAGTTTAAATTCACCTAAAGCCACATTGCCTTCCTTTGAATTCAGACGTCACAGCCTGCAGCACACTTCCCTTTGTGTAACTTATGTATGCAGAGAAGGTCCCAAGTGCTGGCTGATGGCCTTAGGGATGTATATAGCCCATGCTCAAATTTTGTTGGGCATACAAAGTATTTTTTAAAAAGTCAAATCATTGCCAACATTTATAGGTGGTAGGATACTTCTTACAAAAATCCAGATTTCCAATCTTTCTTGGAGAATAAAAAGGAAGATCTGGCAAACTGGGCTCTTATTAACATTTGCAACTGTTAGTACTCTCTCTTGCTCACCCCTTGACATCACCTGCTGGCCCCTGGGGACATCTGAGTTTGATCCCCATGTACAATCCATCCACCTTAGCAGATGATAGACTCCTTGATGAGGGAACAAGCTTTGTTTGCTTCTGTGGCCTCCCACAGTAGATGCTAACAACCTATGTTCTGAATGAATACATTTTTCATATTTTTATTGTTTAACAGTTTCTTAAGCTCACTTGCTTCTGTCTGATTAAAACTGTGTGAAATAATACATGCACCTCAGATTTACTTAGTTTTCTCCCAGGAAGTCTAAAGCTTTTTCTCATAGCATCCTCATATAGCATATGGAAATTTAATATGAGGAAATTTAGGACTTTAATTTCTTTGATTAAGGCAAAAAGCCATAGTGTTAAGAGGAGAGAGTGGACTGTAAACCATGGGTCCCATGTTTGGCTTCACCTTAGAATCACTTGAAAAGTTTTAAAGAAATGAAGATTCCTAGACACCATCCCCAGAGATCCTGATTCATTTTTTAAGCTCTCTGGTTGTACTGCACAGCCAGGGTTGAGACCATTGATTTAAACCAGGGGTTGGCAAACTACAACCCACAGGCCAAATCTGACCCACTGCTGGTTTTTGTCACCGACCAAGAAATGTTTACATTTCAAATGGTTAAAAAAAGGCAAAAGAAGAATATTTTATGACAACTTAAGATTACATGAAATTCAAATTTCACTGCCCATAAATAAAGTTATTATAAGAACACTGCCAGGCTCATACATTTACAAACTGCCTATGGCTGCTTTCATACTGCTGTTAGCAACTACAACAGAGACCATATGACCTACAAAACGTACAATATTTACTATTTGGCCCTTTCTGGGAAAAGTTTGTGACCCCTGGTTTAAATCTTCAAAGTAGTATAATATACTAGTCATAATATGGCCAGAAAAGCAATGTAAGTTTGAAAAAGGAGAATTTACATATATGCTAATGCTGGTTCATGGAACTTTCTCTACATTCACCTCACCGCTGAGAGGAAACCTAATCTCAAATTCTACTCAGGTGGCAATGTTCTTTGAGTGAGAATGTTCACTGCTGTAGTTCTAGTCAGATGACTGGTGATTACTTTCATAGATTTCCAGGCCTGGTTTTTGGTGTATTCTGCATCAACAAGTTTCGGATTTTTCCGAGACAGAAGAATGAGAGGATCTCGTTCTGGACTTGTCCTATAAAAGAAACACGTGACATAAAACTGTGTGGCCTATATTAGAATACTGTTCCCAATCCCTAAAAGATGAGCGGAACTAGGACCCTATGGAATGCCTCTGCACAAATGGACAATTCACTGGTGCCGAGACAGCAGAGGAAGGAGACACTGAGTACTGCAGCATCTAGGTCGTCCAGAGCTAGTCCCCTCTCTATCTTTAGGGTTGGAGAGTGCTTGGCTCTTCTTTGCTTGCATTTGGTCTTAAAGGGTATGTTGTTCGGGTCACTATAGTCAAATCCCAGGGAATGATTTTCCTTTTAGGAAAGTTCATGTAGCTTCTCTAATCACTGACGCTCATAACTGTGAGACTAGGTAGTCACCACTCACTAAAACAGCTACATGACTTTGTTATGTATGTTCTGTACAGTCCAATATAATATTTAATTTTTTTTAATGCACAAACACTAAAGGGCTTAAAAACCTGATGACTATATGTGGAAAAATTTCTAGTGATTTTCCAAGTAGCAGAGGGTCTTGACACGTGAGACATCATGGATTCCTTGATAATCTGTTCAGAACTATGAACCAACCCCCTCTCCTTTCCAGAAAAATGTATATATCCCCACATAATTTCCTAAAACTCTTGAAGTCCAGACATGATCCTCAAGTTAATCTGTGACCTCAAGATTTAAGAATCAGAGAAGTTAGTAAGAAACAGGACATAGTGGCTGGTTAATCCATTTACATCCTAAGGTCTATCTGCCAAATGAAGAGGAGGATGAAGAGAGAGTATAATCTCTGGCAAGGACTCACTTGCTAAAACTACAAAACCCTTCTCCCTTTGCAGTATTTTCTAATCATCTGCTCCACAGATATTTATTGTATATCTACATGCCAGGAACTGTTCTTGGCACTGGGAATATGGAGCTGAACAACACAGGGGCGTCCTACTACCTTTGCCATGTTTCTCTTCTTTTTCCTCCCTGCTCCCGTCTTCATTTTCAGCAGTCTGAGTCTGTGCTCCTAACGACTATATGGTAGCTGCATGGTCTGATAAAAAAGGCAGTCAAGAGATGTGATGAGTCCTGCTCTGCATTAACCAACAGAGTGACTGTGGCATGATCATAAGCTACTCCTAGGGACTGTAAGACACCCATCTGTTCTGTTTGACATCACACAATCAATGCTAGACACACTTGTGACACTATGTAAAATATCTGTTAGAGGACTGAAATGGATGAACTTTACTTCTTTGAAGATCAACTCAATCAATGGCAATTTGGTCAAATAATTTGAATTATTCTCAAATCTAAAATTGGGATTCCACATTTCTTTCTTGGTTATCTTAGCTTTCCCTTTGAACTACAGAGTTTGTCATATCCTCACGGTTACTTACATTTTACATTACTTGGAAGAATATCTTTGTAAAATGTCAAAAAATAACTCACCTCGATCCTCGGAAATATGCTGTAGAGTTTTTCTTTTTCCATGGCCACTGTGCTGCTGACCTAAGAATACAGAATTTAATTAGTTTCAATATATCTTTTTCAACTATATAAGAATGCACTTTAACCATTTCTGGAGATTATTTCTGAGCTTTATATTTCTAAATAAGTTTGATCAAAGCTACTCAAAAGAAAAATCCCTAAAAGACACTTTGTTTCCTTTTGCTATCATTTCATTTCTCTTGAGGTGCCACCCAGTTATATCTACAATCTATTCCCCATTAACAAGTTAACAACATTGAAAGAAAAGCCCCCAAACCCTGAAGGTCACGATTAGGTCTGTTTATAATTTGGCAAATGTGGATTTCCTCTATACTTTAAGTAGGGTGCTATTGATGAAATTAATTACGTGAGCAGAACTAAAAAAAAAAAGGCATCAGAAATTAAACGAAAGGAAAATCACTCTCTGATTTTATGTTTTCCATAGGTGGGAAGTGTCATCAGATTTAGTCTGATATTTGGAAAGCACCCTGGTATTCTTAAAGCCGGACAAAGTGTTGTATAAAGATGAAGTCCTTGAAACTGAAGTCTCAGTACACATTACTATGACCAGCCTTCCTTGCTGAAAGTGCTAGCTCACAGATGCATCATGCTTAACTTTCTTTGTATAAACCCTCCCTGCACAGAAGTCTGTACAGCATCTTCCTCTGCAAAAGGAGGGGAAGGCTGAACTGAAGTTAATGAGGGTTTGGTGGGCTGTATTACGGTAATGGAGAAACTTAGGATATAAACTTTCTAGGCATAGGTCCTTTTCAGATACATATAATGTTACACTGCTTATTTTCCCTGAGCTGAGAATGCTGCTCAGTACAGTATTTTCCAGGCCCTCAGACCTCCACCCTCAGCCAACCTGGCTCATCCTCTGGCCTTTTCTGGCTGGATCACCTTTACCTGATTTTACGGTCTAAGGCCAGAACTATTTCATTTTCCCCCCTACTTCTTCCTCCCCAAACAGAAACACTATAGCACTGGATTTTTGTTGTTGTATTTTTAGTGGAAAATGTTCCATGCTCCTCGTGCAAAGTTCTCATGAAAAAGCATAAAGATAAAAGTAAAAAATCATCTGGAATCTCCCTGTCCACAGTAACAAAGTAACATTTTAGCCAAGAATTTCCCTGCAATCATTTCTTCATATTAGTAGCTTTCAACTGGGGGTAATTTTGCCCGTCCCTCCCACCCAGGGGATATTTGGCCATGTATGTAGACATTGTTACTACTAGGGGATTGCTACTGGCATTTAGTGGATAAAGATCAGAGATGCTGCTAAACAATCCTACAGTAGACAGCTCCCACGACAAAGAATTATCCAGCCCCAAATGTCAGCAGCACTGAGAAACTTTGCTCCATGTAACAGAGATCATACCATTCATACCATTAGGTAACATTCTTAAAAGGAAGTATCAATAATAATAACAGCCAACATCCATATAGCACTTTACTATGTTACAGACATTGTTCTAAGTGCTTTATATATATCAAATCATTCTCACACTTTGTAAGAGGTAGATTTTATCATCCCTATTTTACAAATGAGGTCCTTCAGAGGTTAAGCAACTTGCACAGAGTTATGCAGCTGATAAGAGCCAGGATTTGAACCCAGAGTTTTTTAACCCTACACTGCCTTTCCATTCATGCACGATATTCCATTTTATAATCTCTGGCAAAGACTCACTGCAAAAATTCCATTTTATAGTCATGTTATGATTCACTTCATCCTTTATTGATGGGCTTTTAGGTATTGTCCAACGTTCTGCTCTAAGAAACAACATGGTAGTAAACATCCTTGTACACACATCTTTGCACACTTGTCTAATTTCTTGCGATACATTCTAGATGTGAAACATTTGGGTCAAAGGATACACAGTATACATTTCCAATTTTGATACATATTGTCAAACTACCTAACAAAAAATGTATCAATTTATACTCAAAGTTACTTCTATTTCCTTGGTCCCTGGGAAAGTTGTGTTTAATATACACAGGCCCAAACTGTGTATCACTGTTTTCTCTCTCTTCCATTATCCTAACCTCCCCATCATCCCTCAAAAGACTTAGGCTAGGACTTGTTTCTCCAGGCAAGTGCTAACAGTGGCCACCAAGCCTGGTGCTACCCCAGCCCTCTTTTTTAAAACCTCTCTGACAGCAGCAAATGAAATCTTTACATCTATAAAGAACAATGAATTCTCCTACAGAGTGAAATATAAGTCAGGGGGCATAAACTCCCAAAATATTAGAAAAATAGAATGAAAAGTGGCAGGCAAACATCAACGCAGATAAACAAGCAGATTATTAAATTTTCAAGGTAACAAATGAACATCACTAGAGATTCTAAATGGAGGGTTCCAAAAAAAAAGTGCAATTCTATAACCATGAATAAATACAATTGAATAAAATGGGAAGGTATCAAAAGAAAAAAATATTCATATAAGATTAGACTTTAAAACATTCTATCTGCCGAAAAACTGCTTACTAGTTTACAAGGGGGAAATGTTATCAATAACTAACATGGTGAAGTAACTGGATAACACCTGACCCCAGGAGTCTTAGTCTGGCCTGGGCAACAAAGTGAGATCCTGCCTCTTAAATAAATAAATATTATATAAATAAATAAATTCATGTGACTTTCATATGTACTGACGTGGAAGGATTACTTATATATACCAATAAGTTGGGGGAAAAGTTGCCTAAGTTATATATATTTGTAAAATTTTATGAGCATATATAGGTTTTATAGTCAGTAAAAATGTTTTCAAAGATTTTAAAAACAAGGCAGCTGCATGGCAGGTGGGAAAAGAGCTTACAAAAAGAAGAATGTAAAAAGGGTATTTACAAGTACCCGAGGGAAATTAAAAAAAAAAAAAAAAAGGATTAGAAAACTAAGGCCAAGAATAACTTAGGGAAAAAAAAAATTTAAACTTTTTTTTCAGCTGAGTGTGGTGGCTCATGCCTGTAATCCCGGCACTTTGGGAGGCCAAGGCGGGAGGATCACTTGGGCCCAGGAGTTTGAGATCAGCCTAGGAAACATAGCAAGACCTTATCTCCACAAAAAATTTCAAAAAACAACCAACAAACAAAAATCACACCTTTTTACCCCCGTCTCTGAAAATTATGTTCAAAACCCCAAAATGAACAAGAAATGATAGTCTCAATGTCAGGAAAACACAAGGAATATTAAGTGGTAAAGTAAGCTGAATAATGCACTTGAAAACCGGAACTTCAGGCCTGGATTTGCTTCTGACCTTGACCAGGTCACTAAACCTTTCTGGGCCTTCATTCCCTTATCCCCGAAATAAAGGGATGGACAAAGACAATTTCCAGTTCCAGTTTTGTAAAATCTGAGACTAAGTTGTTATTTTTAAAATTTTCCAAATTATACCCACTGGAGAAGTTTGTTTTCTAACAAAGGGCTCTACCTGCCACTGAGGACTGCAGCCCTGTGTGTTTCTTCAGGAAGAGAACATTCCCTTACCTCTTTGAATTTTCAGCCACATTTAGTAGATGTGATGGGTATTTATGGGAACAAGGTTGAATTATTTGCTTTCCTTATACCTGAGGGAAGACCTATAATGACTGTTTTTCTGGAAGTTCCTTAATTAAGCACCAAAGTTGTTTGAATCATCATGTAAAATGTAGCTAGGTAAGAAATACCTACAGCTTGGATGAGCTACACAATCTAAATTCTGAAATGGTAGCAGGATGGAGTCAACAGGCCAAGGCATGTCTCAGTCATGAATCAGAGAGAATCTGGGATAAGCTTGTACTTGAGATGCTTATGGGACATTTATGCTCCTTCAGCCCTGCCTAAAGAACTTAGCTTTCAATTACCAAGTATGTTTATGTTCTTCAAAATAATTTTCTATCCTCCCCTATGACACATTCATTTTTTTCTTATAATGAAGTAATTCATTCTTATTTAAAGAATCTTAAATATAGAAAAATTTAAAATAGAAAACAAGTCTCTGATAATCCCTCCCAGAGAGGCATTGCTGATAGTTTAGGATAGATTATTCTGCCCTTTTCTATGGATAATGTAAATATTTTTAGACACATACCAAATTGTTTATGCTACAGTTTGCTGTCTTTAATTTTTAACTTAAAAATTAGTCATTTAAAAGTAAATAATTGGTTATATTCTACGGCTCATTTTAAGAAAACCTAGAAAGAGGAAAAAATAAAACCTCTTTAAAGGACCTACCTTACCAGATCTTCTCTGAAGAGGTCCCACCGTCCAAGACCTGTAGGATAAATTGGCCAAACAGCAGGTCCCCCTTCCCAAAATGTCCAAGCAGGATACATGATATCATGGTACTCTGATGTCTTCAACAAAAACAGACAGGTCATTCTAAATCAGTCTTGGAACTGAGTGAAAAGAGGCAACTGCAATCATGCCACAGGATCTGAACAGCCTTGGTTTAGTGTCATATTGCCAAAGATATATTTTCCCTATTCTGCAAAGTCTAGCCTGTAGACATTAAAAGGCAAAAGTGATCATGGATTAAAAGTCATGGGCTCATTGAAGTCTAGAATTTAGAATCACAAATTAAAGGTCAACTTTTTCAGTTCCCCCACATTCTGTTTTTCTAGAAGATGTATATTGTTAAGGTTTTCAATGTAAGGAAGCAATATTCCCAACTCTGAATAATCACAGAGCTTTCTCATTGTTTAACTCTTATACCTAAAGTTTACACTGTCTTACCAGTTTTTGGTTATTTCCCAGTGGGTTTTTTTTTTTTTTTTTTAGCGTAAGAGCCAAGAAATACAGTGCAATGGTTAAGACTGTGGGCTCTAGAGGCAGATCATTGCTGACTCCACCTCTTTACAGCTCTAGCAAGTTACTTAATGGTTTTATACCTCAGCTTCCTTATCATTGTAATGGGGGAAACAATAATATCAATAATATGATCTACCCAAAAGGCTTATTTTGAATATTAAATTAGTTGATAAATCTTAGAACAGTATCTGACACATTGTACGTACTTGATACATATTAGCTAGTGTTATCTCATGCTGTGGGTTCACATTGGTTGGTCATTCACTGATCAGGGTCAGAAGTATGGATGAGCAGAATGAGAGGAAGGGATGTTATCATATATCTTTTGAAAGAAGTTTGAGGCCTGATACAGTGGCTCATTTCCTATAATCCCAGCACTTTGGGAGGCCGAGGTGGGCGGATCACCTGATGAGACCAGCCTGACCAACGTGAAACCCTGTTTCTACTAAAAAATACACAAAAGAAATTAGCTGGGTGTGGTGGCATGCGCCGTAGTCCCAGCTACTAGGGAGGCTCAGGCAGAGAATTGCTTGAACCCAGGAGATGGACACTGCAGTAAGCTGAGATTGTACCACTGCACTCCAGCCTGGGTGACAGAGAGAGACTCTGTCTCAAAAAAAAAAAAAAAGAAAAGAAAAGAAAGAAAGAAGTTTGAAACCATTTGTTCCTTTTTTTTTTTTTTCCAGCTTAAAAGCATTTTATTAAGCATATTTAGATGTTGCTTCCTACCTTTTAAGAATAAAAAATGCCTTTTAATAAAAAAATCTATACTAAAGTCATTTTCCTTTGTGTGAGGAAATATGAATGAAATGTACATTCATATTTAAAAACAGAGTATTGTACTGCCAAAATTTTAAATATCTCAAGAGCACAACCCATTTTAAACACATTATGTTCATGCAGCTATTTCAATATTCCTGGGAATGGTGGGCAATTAGCCTATCTATGGCTTAGGGTCTGTTTCCATGCTTTCATCCTGAGCTTCTTCTACCTCTGAGAGTTTTTCATCATTTTCCAATGTTTGCTGAAGTTCATGGATGGTACTAAGAAGAACGTGAAACTGTTTCCGTCTCAATTCCAGCTTATCTTCGACACTTTCTTTAATATGTGAAAGATGCTCTAATTCTTTTCCCAGAGCTTCTAGTTCCTTTAATGTCTCATGCCTGTCTGGATGATGCTGGATCACTTTTGCCAAAGCATCATATTCTTGGCGATTTTTTCGTATTCGTTTTGCTTGAAGAATTTGCTTTTTGCACTCAGCAATTTTTTCATGTGCTCCAGCAATGCTACATTCTATTTCCTTGTAAATTTTTTCATAATTTTCCATTTCTCTGAGATTCATATCATATACTAGTAAAGTTTTTCCCATTGAAAATTCACTTTGAGACAGTGTGCTCAGCATACGCTGGTACTGGCTATATCCTTCTCATCTCCAGCACCATCTCCATCAATGAGGAGACGCTTCCGTATGACTTCGTCGTCAGTCACGGCTCCCATGGCGTGCACGGCGGCGGCGGCGGCGCAAGCTGAGGCGGCGGTTGGCGGCGGCGGAGGTCAAACTCCCACAATGCAGCCGGGTAAACAGCCATGGAGGAGGAGGCGGCGGCGCCCGCGGCCGCCAGCTCCGACGCCTCCATTTGTTCCTTTTTATAGTTACTTCTGTTAAAAATTTGGCCGCTGATAAACCTGTAACTCTACTGTTTCTTCCACTGGAAATACATGTGCAATATGCTGTTTACTTTCTCTCAAATATGTAAAAAATGATGTGCACCTTAAACATGACAAGCACCTTAAACATGACAGCTATTCAACAGAAGCTGCACAATTAACTATAAAGTTGGCAGTGTAAAACCCTCCCTTGGAAACTAAAAGTCACTGATTTAAAAAAGAGGAGGGAAGTAAAGGTGAACAGAAAGTTAGTAGACCCTATGGTCATACTCTATTATCCACAGAAACAATAGATAGATACCAAACACGAAGTCCCTACTGACTTACATGGAAGCCTCTATCTGTGTTTCTGGGTGAGTTTCACAGCAAACAATGGAACCAAGCACTTTTGAGAATGAAGCTAGACCACGGGAAATGCAGCACAAATGTGGCCTCTGCCCACTTGTAACACAGGAAATAAAACAAGTCTAGGGAGAAAGTAAACTGTTATAAAGAAGAAGTGGGGCTGAAAGGTCCCTCTGTTTTGGACAAACCAAATCAGAGATAGTGTTCATTCTCCCAAATTCCATGGGGTTTTCCTCAATTTACTCTTACCCCATAGAATCTTCCATTCACTCTCTTCCAGCCTCTCCACCCTGCCCCTGAATGCTTTCCTCGTTTCTGGGGAACCAATGCCCATCCCTGCCACATGAACCTGAGAACTGACAAGATATTCCTTGCCCCCAATTCCCCAAGCCCACAGGTGTGTCCTAGCTACTTCAGTCTTCCATGATGAGTTTAGAAGATCACCCCCTTGCATAGCCTCTAGGCTATCTCAGGCCTATCCTTCCAATGCAATGTTTGCACACAACCCGTGTGGAGTTATCGCGTACCTTCAGGTTCACTTTTAGCCATGCTGGGCCCCTGGAATATGGTGACAGATGGGACAGATGATACCCAGCACTATGGCTGACTATATACATAGCAGTAGCTCAAAAAACATTTTTTGAACGAAGGTATTCCCTAACTCCAAGCTTTCTTGGACCCTTTCCTTCTATGCTCTATAGGATCTTTGAGCCCCATCTCTAATTCCTGTAGGTTTCTCAGGCCTCTCACACCCTAGCCTCCATCCCTAGCCTTAAAGATACTCAACCAATCTTATATGACTTACTGGTTCTCAACTCCATCTTCTTTTTTGCTCAATCACTGTGATGCTAACAGACACACAGACCCATTTCTGGACCTCAGTCCTCATCCTTACCATTACCCATCAAACTATATCATAGGACAATGATTTCATGTTCATATCCTAGAGGACCACCCTCCATTCCCCCTTGTGGCTCTCCCTGTACTTACCTTACTGAAGGAGAAGACTGGGATGGCAGGTTCCATCCATTTAGGAACCTGAGGATAATCTCGTACATTGATCACCATCTCCATGTCAGGGAGACGCCTGATCACTTCCAAAATAAAGTGCTCAACACCACTACACCTGTCAGTCAGAGATACCATAAATTCAGCAGAGCAGTGCCCGCAGGCTCTAGCACAAGGTGAGGTACCATTCACATTTTAAAATTAGACAAGGCAGTGTTCCAAATCAACAGCCTATTGCAAAGTCTTCTGAAAGCAATGCTTTTAAAGGGGCTATTCTGTTTTTTTATATTGTGCAAGTTCACTCCTAGTTAAGCTGCTCCAGCTTACAATACTTAATAAATTTTTCCAAATAAGTCATCATAGCTTTGAAGGGAATACTATTGCTACTTCTACCACTTTATTCATTCCAGTTCTTTATTTCCCTTATATGGTATAGTTTAATTAGCAGACAAGATACAAACTCTTGTAGCAGCTGAAATAGCAAATTTCCTAACTGTGTTCCTTTGGCTTTGCTTCTCGCAAAGACACCGTTTTTATTTCCATTATAATTAAGTCTCCTAGTTTATGAGAACAAATAGAAAACCCTTCATTACCTTCAACCTAAATAAAGAACACCATCAAAATCAGTTCTGCAAGCCAGAAAGACTGTTATATACATAATCATAAATACTGTAACATAGCTTTCTGACTTGATTCCCCAGAAATCCTCAGAGGATTTCTTGAAAGAAAAAGAAGATACACTGATAGTTTAGCTTGTTTCTGCCTCATCATTTGAGGTCCTGACCAGCACTATGCTAAGGGCAGCACTCAAAGGCTTGATCAAAACTTTCTGGCAGCACAGAAGTGACTGATTTAAAATAATGTTTTACTACTTGGGAAGCTTAGGCAGGAGGGTTCTTTGAGCCCAAAAGTTCTAGACCAGCAACTTAGTAATATAGTGATATAGTAGGCAATGTAGTGAGATGCCCTAGCCAAAAAAAAAAAAAAATTGTTTTATATATAGAGATAACTGCAAAAAATTTCAACTGTTCACAAACATAGGAAAAGATGTTCAACTGTATTATTAATAAAGAAATATTATCTCGGCACTTTGGGAGGCTGAGGTGGGCAAATCACGAGGTAAGGATATCAAGACCATCCTGGCCAACATGGCGAAACTCTGTCTCTATTAAAAATACAAAAATTAGCTGGGTGTGGTGGTGCACACCTGTAGTATCAGCTACTCAGGAGGCTGAGGCAGGAGAATCGCTTGAACCTGGGAGGCAGATGTTGCAGTGAGCCAAAACTGCACCACTGCACTCCAGCATGGTGACAGAGCCAGACTCCATCTCAAAAAGAAAAAAAAAAAAAGAAATATCAATGATACTAAATACCAATTTTACCAATTAGATTAGCAAAGATCAAACAGTCTGATAGTGCACAGTGTTGGTGAGGGTGTGAGATCTATTCACAGCATGTGATATAAGGGTTGTGGAAGTGGTTAGCCTCTTTGTAGGACAATTTGCTTCTCTTTACCAAGATTTCTCCTTTTCTTTTTTGAGTCAGGGTCTCTCTTGCTCTGCCACCCAGGCTGGAGTGTGCAGTGGCATGATCATGGCTCACTGTAGTCTCAAACTCCTAGGCTCAAGCAATCTTCTCACCTCAGCCTCCTGAGTGGCTGGGACTACAACTGTGTGCCATCACACCCGGCAAGTGTGTGTGTGTGTGTGTGTGTGTGTGTGTGTGTAGAGACAGAGTCTTGCTATGTTGTCTAGACTGATCTTGAACTCTTGAGCTCAAGTGATCCTCCCACCCCAGTCTCCCAAGTGCTGGGATTACAGGTGACAGACACTGTGCCCTATTTATCAATTTTTTTTTTTTGAGACAGAGTCTCACTCTGTGGCCCAGGCTGGAGTGCAATGGCATGATCTCGGCTCATTGCAACCTTCCCCACACGCGCCACCATACCCAGCTAATTTTTGTATTTTTAGTAGACATGAGGTTTCACCATGTTGGCCAGGATGGTCTCAAACTCCTGACCTCAGGTGATCCACCCACCTTGGCCTCCCAAAGTGCTGGGATTACAGGCATGAGCCACCACACCCAGCCTGTTTATCAAGATTTAAAAATGACATTAATTGGCCTAGTTATTATACTTCTAAGAACTTAGCCTACATATATATTTACATGAGTGTTGATGGTAACAAGGATGTTTGCTGCAGTATTGCTTGCATTATCCAAAAAGCAAAATGATGTGGTGAGGGATAATCTAAATGTCCACTAACAGAGGGCTGAATGAAGAAATCCATATGATAAACTATTATGCAGCCACAAAGGAGTGAGGCATTCTCTATGGACTTGTATGGAACCATCTCAAAATCTACTGTTAAATGGAAAAGAAATCTAAGTGCAGAACAGAAGATAGAGCATGTTCTAGTTTGTTGATGAGTCTAGATGCTTATATATGGATAGACTGTTTCTAGAAGGATATACAAGACACATAATTCTAATTGTCTTTTGAAAAACAGTCTCGGGAACTAGAGGTCTGAGGGCCGGAGGTGGAAGAGAAAGTTCCTTTTCACTGAATGTCTTTTGGAGTTATCCAAATATTTTAGCACATAGTAAAATAGATATTAATTGATAAAACAGATATTACCATCAAATAGATGGTAAAATATTTGGATATTTTACATATCCAAAGTGCATTAATACTCTTTGACACTAAAAGAAAAAAAAAAAACTAGTTAAAAAGTTTTTTAAAAAGTTGCAGTACAATTTAAACATTACAGGTAAAACACTCATATTTCTTTCACATTTGGCTTTTAATTGTATTTTATTTATTCATTTTTTTTTTGAGACGGAAATTCTTTCTTGTTGCCCAGGATGGAGTATAATGGCGTGATCTCAGCTCACTGTAACCTCCACCTCCCGGTTTTAAGTGATTCTCCTGCCTCAGCCTCCCAAGTAGCTGGGATTACAGGTGCCTGCCACCATGCCTGGCTAATTTTTTTGTGTATTTTTAGTAGAGACAGGGTTTCACCATGTTGGCCAGGCTGGTCTCGAACTCCTGACCTTAGGCGATTTGCCCTTCTTTTCCTCCCAAAGTGCTGGGATTACAGGTGTGAGCCACAATGCCCAGCCACATTTAGCTTTTAAAATAGTACTGTCTCATGATTCCATTTATAGAAAACTTTAGAAAATAATCTATAATTTGAGAAAGCAGTCAGTGGCTGCCTGAAGGTGGGACATGGACAGGGAAGGCAGACAGGGAGACACAGGAGAGAGTGAATGCAAAGAGGCACAAGGAACCTTTTGGTTGAGATGGAAGGGTCATTATCTTGGTATAAACATACATGAAGACTTATCAGTGTACACTGTATTTTTTGTTTTTAATTGATAAATAATAATTATATATATTTACAGGATATAATGTAATGTTTTGATCTGTTTACATTGTGGAATAAGTATATCAAGCTAATTCACATATCCTCACATACTATTTTTTGTTGTGAGAACATTTACATTATATACTTTATATGTAATTTATGTTAACCACACTAAAACTGTTATTTAAAAAATATCATTACTTGTCATCTTTGAAATGACTTGTCTCTATCATTAATTAAACCTCTGGTTCCTCTGCTCCTCCTTGAAATGTGGAGTTTATATTTTATTTGAAGCTGAATTTTTAAAATGTCACACAGGTTTCTGAAACAGGATGAATTAAAAGTATCTAGACCTAGAAATATATTTCTAGCTAGATCGGAATCTTTGAGATACCATAAAACTGTGTGCATTTCATTAAGGACTGTGCTTTGGAATGCTGTATTCTATTTGTATTTTGTCCCTCTCTGTTTTCCTTGGTTATAGGTGTAGCTAGGATAGGGAACTTTCAGTTCCCTATCAATGGAAATACACATTATTTTATTGCTAATGAAAGGTCCTGTGCTCCCTTCAGAACATTTCTAAGCTCACAATTCTGATCAAAATGATCTGAGCTCAGGAAGAAGAGAATTGTACCTTTCAGAAACTTTGAAAGTATTTAATTTCATATGCCAATTGTTCAGCAAACTATTAAACATTGGGTAAGCTTTCAAAGTCCAGTATGTTTATATTCTTATTTTATTTCTCATTTGTGGAAGTTAAAAATTCCCCTAGACTCATAATTTATATTTAAAGTCTCTATTATTGAGTCCCAAATAATGAAACAAATGTCTGTTTAAAATACCTTAATCATTTTTTCCACTACAACTTTGTTTCCCCTGATATCTGATGGCCACAGGGTAAGTGATTTCCTCAGGGTTGTGGGATATTAAATAATCTTTCTTTTTTGTTTTTCTTCCTTTTTTTTTTTTTTTTTTAAATTTCTTTGAGACAAGTCTCACTCTGTCACCCAGGCTGGAGCACAGTGGAATAATCATGGCTCAGGCTCACTGCAGCCTCGACCTGCTGTGCTCAGGTGATCCACTCACTTCAGCCTGCCAAGTAGCTGGGACTACAGACACATGCCACCACACTCAGCTAATGTTTGTATTTTTTGTAGAGATGAGGTTTCACCATGTTGTCCAGGATGGTCTTGAACTTCGGACCTCAAGTGATCTGCCTGCCTTGACCTCCCAAAATGCTGGGATTATAGGCACAAGCCACTGTGCCCAGATTGTTTTCTTGTTTATATATTTATAACAGAAAATATTAAATTATAACAAAGCTTTTATTAAATACAAATACTATAAATCTTTATGTACAAATTGATGCATTTCTTTTCCAACTCTGCACATTTATTTTACTTTTAATGACAGAATAGGGGTTGTTTAGAAAGACGGTCTTAGATTAAGGGAATATTATGCCCTCTGAGTTTTGTATCTTATAATTTTATAAAGATTTGAGTTAAAAAGAAATCCAAAAATAAGGTTTATCTTTTTATGTGTGCAATGATGCCTAAACCCAACCTCCACGCTCAGCCCATGACCGTCCCTGCCTACCACCTGCCTTCAGCCCACTGACATAGTACCTCAGCTCTCACACCTGAAGTCCTGGCTAGTATAATCTGCAGCACTAGTTACTCCTCTTTTTTTTTTTTTTTCTTTTTAAGACAGGATCTCACTCTGTCATCTAGGCTGGAGTGCAGTGGTGCGATCTTGGCTCTCTACATACAGCCTCTGTCTCTTGGGCTCATGCAATCCTCCTGCCTCAGCCTCCCAAGTAGCTGGGAGGATAGGTGTGTACCACCACACCCTGCTAATTTTTGTAGAGACAGGGTTTTGCCATAATCCAGGATGGTCTCAAACTCCTGGGCTCAAGCAATCCACCACAAAGTGCTGGGATCACAGGTGTGAGCCACCACATCCCATCTAGTTACTCCTCTTGACGCTACCACCTCTCCTTGAATATTCAGCATCTAGAACTATACTGGCCCATGACAGACATTCAACCAATTCTTCCTCCTTCAGCCCAGCTCCCTCCTTCTAGGCCTGCTAAGCCTCATCAGACTGTGTCCTGCAGCCACTATATCCCAGGGAAGGAGCAGAAGAGGCAGGGCCACCGACAGTACAACCAGTGATGAGCCACGCCTCAAAGAGGAGACAGGCTTTGAGAGGAGCTCACAAGAAAAATTCCCAGGCAAGGAGAAGAGCTCGTCACTATTTTGCAGTCCCTCTGAAATGTGAGGAGGGATTTGCTTGTTAGTTCCCTGAATTGCTCCTCTATAAAAGGGTATCAAGTAAGCCTATATGTAATAAAGTCAAAGGATATATCTACCTAATAACTCTTACCTTGAGGGGAACATGCAGTCATTTTCCCGGTATAGTCTGTTCTTAATGATCTGATAGTGGGTCCCTAGCTTCCGTCTGACTACCTCTGCCATCATCTTCCTGGAGATACCTCCTCGGAAAGGAGTTAGATCCTCTTCTATGACACTGGGAAAGAATGGGAGTCATCAAGGAAAGCAGGTACCATTCCACCTACTTCCTAAGTGCATTTAGGTTTCATACTAGACAACGCAGTAAGCGGAAGGAAACAATTGAGGGTGAGAATGAGCAGCTCTTCCCTAGAAGCCCTGTAGGTAATCTGAAACATCAAAGGCAATAAAGCAACAAAAAGTAAAAAGCGGGTCAATGTCTCTTCTTTCTCCCTCCATCTGGATTGCCCCTCCCTTGCCAGTTCTGTATTCCTCTTTTGCTACTCATGCCACACCTGTGTCCTTCTAGTCACTTCAGTCCTACTGGCATCTCCTTCTCCCAATCCCACAGGAAGTGAAGTTTATGCCTTACAGTCTAGCACTGACTCTCTTGTTCTGGTCTGTCTGGTTTGCACTCTCCCCTACACCCCCTTACTCTGGTAGCCTGACAGCACTATTATACTATTTTGTATTCTTTTTAAAGTTGAGTGCACAGTAAGTTTTCAACAAGTATCATAAGCATCCAGGGGATTTTTTGAGGAGTCAAAATAACATAATGAGGAGCTTAAAAGACCCTGTTATTTAGCTGATGAAGAATCTGAGACCCAGAGTAGTGAAATGGCTTGGCATAGGGGTAACCAGTGGGAGTACCGGCACTAACACCCAAGTCTGCTTTCAGAGTTATTTTTCTACCATACCACATCCCGGCCCTGATGTGCATTCTCTTTCTTATTTATTTATTTATTTATTTATTTCTGAGATGGAGTCTCACTCTGTTGCCCAGGCTGGAATGCAGTGGTGTGATCTCAGCTCACTGTAACCTCTGCCTCAGCCTCTTGAGTAGCTGGGATTACAGGTACATGCAACCATGCCCAGCTAATTTTTGTATTTTTAGTAGAGATGGGTTTCACCATATTGGCCAGGCTAGTCTCAAACTCTTGACCTCAGGTGATCCACCTGCCTTAGCCTCTCAAGGTGCTGGAATTACAGGCATGAGCCACCATGCCCAGCCCGATGTGTACTCTCCAAAGATAACCATTAGGAAATTTAGGACTACATTCAACCATAGGTGGGTTTATTTCTTCAACAATATTTATCAAGCACTTACTGAGGGCCAACACCAGGAGACACAGCAAATACGACACAGACCCTAACCTTAGGAAGCTTGCAGCCCAGTGGGAAAAACAGATACACATGCACTGAATCCCACAGCAAGTCAGTGGTTAGGCTGAGACCACTTGAGCCTCTCCCATCCCAGAGCATTATTCTTCTCCGTAGAAATAAAAAAACATCCTTGCCTTTCTGACCACTGCATCCAAATCTCTCAGAGATGTTAGAATACTTCCTGTGACAGCAAGTAAACTCTCAAAGACACATCAAAGAAAATAACTCACCCACGGTAGCAGCTGCAGTTTTGATTTGAACATGGTTCATAATCCTCCAAAGACCTGTTAATTTGGTCAATAAATACTTTCCATTTTGAACCTTCAAAAAGCGAAGTAAATGAGAGTTTAAAAAATTATCCTGAGCGTTCTTATTCGCTAACAGCACACAGGCAGAAGCAACAGAAGACTAAAGCTTTCAGAAATCCCCTTTCCATCCCACTGGTGGAAAGAAAACCCCAGGGAGGAATTTTTGTGTGTGTAACTCCCACGCTCACGTCAAGCCTGTTCCTCTAGCCGGGTATCTGGTGTCTAAGAAACTGGAAAATTCCCAAGCTTAATGCCCAACCCTCAGAATGCTATGGATAGTGACACGGACTCTCACTATCTACTAATCAAATTGAACTCCACAAAGAGGATCAGTTAAAAGCTACAGAAATTAAACCCCTCTTCTTCTTTTCTAGCAACGCATATACACACACGGGCGCACGCACGACATTCGCCCCCATCCCTGACCCCCCAGTGTTGCAGGCAGGTCCAGGGTAGCCAAGCAGAGGCGACACTTCCTGCGAGTGAACGGGGAATTCCCTATCCTCCCTGTCATTCTGAATTCCGGGGGATGGGTTACTCTCCAGGGTTCAGGGCGGGGCAGAGACCCGGGAACCTCACTCTCCGCTGCAAGGCGCCCCGGTGCCCTCTGTCCAGCTCCAAGCTCCAAGCATCATCCTAGGTGCCAGTCGCGCGGGGAAGCGCCTCGGGACCCCAGCCAGCCCCTGAGGCCAAGGGGAGGGTCAGCCCTGCCCCGAGCCCACCTGACTCCTTCTGGCGGCCCTGCGCTGGGTGCAGGAGGAACAGCAACCAGACCCAAAGCGGCGAGCTCGCCCACCACTCCATCGCCAGCCAGCGGACCTACTGCAGATTCCCCGCTGCGGCGCCGGCGGAAGCGTGGCCCCACACAAAGATGGCCCAGGAGCTGCAGCACGTGGGCGGCGGGTCGCCCCGCACAAAGATGGCCACGCTGCTGCTCCACCCCCTCCTCCGGTCCCCAGCCTTGCGGAGTTTCCCTGAGAAGTCTGCGACTGGAAGGTGGGGAAAATAAACGAATGGATCAGCTGCCTATCCTTCCTTTCTGGCACCCCTGGGAAAATAGGTCTGCAGCCAGAAAACTTAAGGTCAGAGAGGACGTGTTTCACAGTTAGCGGCACAACCAAGGCTTGGCATAGAGCCTAGACTAGACAATTCTTCTCTTGATGTCAAATTGTCTCTTATCAAATGGCATAGATTCTTTGAGCGCGCGCGCGCGCGTGCGCGCGCGTGTGTATGTGTGTTTGTGTGTGTGTGTGTGCGCGCGCGTGTGTGTATAGCACAGTTAGACCCCAGAAGTTGCAATTAGCATAGCATGGGTCCCTTTGTAATAGGAATTTATAACAGTTGGGGTGACTTAGAGGTAGGAAAAATGAATCAATGGTGTTGAATAAAGTTTACAGGAGGTCGTTGCTTGGGACTGAACTCTGGCATTAGGCCTCAAGAGAGTAGAAAAAAACAGAATGGAGGCACTTGTCCTAGGTGCCACGAAATTAAACAACTTTAAAAGGGGCCAGTTTACCAACAAGTAGGAGATTCACAGCAACCAGTCAGAAGGTTCTTCATCATACCTGAGCTGGCATGATAAAGAAGTCCCCTCTGATACTTTTTAAGGAAAGTAACTTCAAAATGACCAATCTGATCTTCGTTTCTTATTTCTGCTTTCTTCAGCCCATTTCTGCCTATAAGGCCAACCCCTTCTGCTCAGCTCATTAGAACACCTTTCTGTTTCATAGATGGGATAGTGCCTGATTCATGAGTCACTAATAAAAGCCAATTGATTTTTTTGTTTGTTTGTTTGAGACAGAGGACAGAGTCTCACTCTGTCACCCAGGCTGGAATGCAGTGGCACAATCTTGGCTCACTGCAACCTCTGCCTCTCAGGTTCAAGTGATTCTCCAGTCTCAGCCTCCCAAGTAGCTGGGACTCAGCCTCCTGAGTAGCTGGGATTACAGGCATGTACCACCACGTCTGGCTAATATTTGTATTTTTAGTAGAGACAGGGTTTCACCATTTTGGCCAGGTTGGTCTTAAACTCCTGAACTCAAGTGATCTGCCCACCTCGGCCTCTTCCAGAATCCAAATGAAACTTTAATCAAAATTTTTTCTACTTCCAGGAAGGTGTGCAGTACAACAGTGTATTGTTTAACAATGGGAATATGTTTTGAGAAATGTGTCAGGCAATTTTGTTGTTGTGTGAACATCACAGAGTTACTTACACAAACTTAGGTAGTATAGCCTACTGCATACTGAGGATATTTGGAATAGCCTATTGATCCTAGGCTACAAACCTAGTTAGCATGTTACTGTACTGGATATTACAGGCAATTATAACACAATGGTAAGTATTGGTGGATCTAAACATAGAGGTACAGCAACAGAGTAAAAATGATACACCTGTATAGGGCACTTATCATGAATGGAGCTTACAGCTCTTGCTGTAATTCTCGTGCCTCAGCCTCCTGAGTAGCTGGGATTACAGGTGTACATCACCACACCTGTCTAAATTTTGTATTTTCAGTAGAGACAGGGTTTCTCCACGTTGGCCAGGCTGCTGTCAAACTCCTAGCCTCTCAAAGTGCTGGGATTATAGGTGTGAGCCACTGCACCTAGCCAATTTTCTTTCTATCTTTATTTTGTAAGCTTTTTTTCTATTTCTAAAATGTTTTCTTTTATTTTTTACTTTTTAAACTATTTTGTTGAAAACTAATATGCAAACACACATGTGTATGTTTGGGTCAGGCCTACACAGGGTCTGGATCATCAACATCACTATCTTTTACCTCCACATCTTGCCCCTCTGGAAGATCTTCAGGGTAGTAACATACATGGAGCTGTCATCTTCTATGATAACAATGCCTTCTTCTGGAATACCTTCTGAAGACCTGCCAGAGGTTGTTTTACAGTTAACTTTCATTTTTTTTAATACGCAGAAGGAGTACACTCTAAAATAACAATACATGTATGTATAGTAAATACGTAAACCAGTAACACAGTAATTTATTATCATTATTTTGTATGATATACTATATATAATCATATGTGCTATGCTTGTATACAACTGGTAGTACAGGTTTGTGTACACCAGGATACACTGCACTACAACATAAAGACAGCTACATCACTAGGCAATAAGAATTTTTCGGTTCTAGTATACTCTCATGGGCTCACCATCATATATGTAGTCTTTCATTGACTGAAACATCATTATAGGACACATGACTATACTTAAAAATGAAAAAAACAAAAACAAACCCAGAATGGTTGTATGAGTACTGGAAGTACATTTCCTCCTGAATGGGTGTTGATTTTGCACCATCATAGAATCAAAAAATTGTGAGTCAAACCATCCTAAGTTGGAGACTTGTGTGTATTCCTAAGTGACAGCTCTGTGGTACATTAGGAATATTTGGGAATATTACTAACTGTACTGGTTTTGATATCAGTCATTCTGGCTCAAAATTCTGGTTCTGGCACTTATTAGCCAGGCTACTTTTTTTCTTTTCTTTTCCTTTTTTTGAAGACAGGGTCTTGCTCTGTTGCCCAGGCTGGAGTGCAGTGGTGCAATCTCAGCTCACTGCAAGCTTGGCCTTCCAGGTTCAAGTGATTCTCCTGCCTCAGCCTCTCGAGTAGCTGGGATTACAGGCGCATGTCACTACTGGCTGGCTAATTTTTGTATTTTTAATAGAGATGGGGTTTCACCATGTTGGCCAGGCTGGTCTTGAACTCCTGACCTCAAGTGATCCACCCACCTCAGCCTCCCAAAGTGCTGGGATTACAGGCGTGAGGCACTGCACCCAGCTAGCCAGGCTATTTTCTTTTCTTTCTTTCCTTTTTTTTTCTTTTTCTTTTTCTTTCTTTTTTTTTTTTTTTTTTGAGATAGGGTCTCTCTCTGTTGCCCAAGCTGGAGTGCAGTGGCACACTTTTGGGTCACTGCAAACTTGACTTCCAGGGCTCAAGTGATCCTCCCACCTTAGCCTCCCAAGTAGCTGGGACTACAGGCATGAGCCACCAAGCCCAGTTGATTTTTAAATTTTTTTTGTAGAGACAAGGTCCCACTATATTGCTCAGGTTGGTCTCAAACTCTTGAGCTCAAGTGATTCTCTCACTTTGCCTCCCAAAGTGTTGGAATTACTGTCATGAGCCACCCTGCCTGCCAGCCAGGATATTTTCAACAAGTTACTTAATTTCTCTTAACTTCAGTTTCCTCTGTAAAATAGGAACCATAGTAGAAGATATCAAATGTGAGATTTAAATGAAATGTGTAAAGCTACTAGTCCAGTGCCTGATACAACAGAATTCTTAAAAAAGGTTTTTAATCATGCAATTCAATACAAATAACTTTCAATTAAGGAGCTTAAAATATCCGGAGTGAAAGATCACACAAGTGCTCCTTTTGACACTCTTACCCTTCTTCGTCTTCTTTTTTTTTTTTTTTCTGAGATGGAGTCTTGCTCTGTTACCCAGGCAGGAGTGCAGTGGCGTGATCTCTGCTCACTACAACCTCTCCGCCTCCTGGGTTCAAGCAATTCTGCCTCAGCCTCCGGAGTAGCTGGGATTGCAGGCGCCTGCCACCACACCTGGCTAATTTTTGTATTTTTAGTAGAGATGGGATTTCACCTTGTTGGTCAGGCTGGTCTCAAACTCCTGACCTCGTGATCCACCCACCTCAGCCTCCCAAAGTGCTGGGATTACAGGCACGAGTGACCGGGCCTGGCGAGACACTCTTACACTTCTAATATCAAACTGTTGGCAATTCCTGAACTCATCATGACGTTGTTCACATCTTTACTGTTTTAAATGCCACTTCCCCTCCAGGAGGACAGCCATTCTCCCATAAAGCCCCTAAGCATTTGTGGAATTTTGGCTGAAACCCCAAGCTCTCTGCAAAGCTTTTTTTGGTATTGACACCACCACCATCCCACAGAATTCATTACTCTTGCATGCTATCTCTGGACCTTGGATATACTTTTAGTGTTAATTACTGTATTTTCCCGGTGTCTTCTCTCTTCCACTAGACTCTGAGCTTTTGCGGTATTCACTTTGCAACCACAGCCTCTGTCTAGTCCTTTACTTAAACAATAAGCTCATGGTTGCATGCTGAAGCATGACTTCACGACTTGGGCTCCTTCACTTAGCAATGACGTGATCCTAGGTGACACCTCCCAATCTCCACTCATCTGTAAAATGGGGGTGATAACTTATTACATGGAGTTTCAGAGACAGCAAGAAGCGTCACTAGCATGGTACCTGCGCCTCGTAGTTACGAGCCGACTGAGACCGGGGAGGAAACGCGTTGGCCAGTACTGGCCGGAAGGGGCGAGACCGCGAGTCAAGAGGAGCAGGCGAGTCCCACTGCGCAGGTGCAAACGGGAGGGGTTGGAGTGTCGGCTAGTTCCGGGGGCCCACTCGCCCGCAGTCGCGGAGCTGACGTCATCGCCGTGTGCTGCCACGTCTCCTCAGCTCCGCGGTAATGGAGGCTGGGGATGGGTGCTGACGGGACCAGGCTCTGGCTGTAGCTTTAGCTCTGGCTCTGGAACTGCCTCGGAGTCTGGGTCTGAGTCTGGCAACCGGAAGCCTGGACACCTTTTCTTGACTCTCTAGGCGGGGGCTGCCTGCGTACAAACAGCTGGTTTGGAGCGTTTCCACGCGGGGAGGGAGTTCCATTACCTGGGGTCCAGTCTGTAAAGTTGTCGCCGCTTCCTAGGGATCCCGCCCCACCGGCTGGGACACTTCCATGCGTGAGTATTACTGAGCTGCCGCAAGATCCGGCTGTCTTGGACCTGTCTTGGCCCTCTTGGGTGTGCGGCGGAGGCTGCTTTTTCAAGTTCTCTGCCGAATTATCTTAGGGACCAGTTTGTTGAAGTTTGTGGTCTCTTGCCGTCTACCCCACCCCATACTCTCACCTCTTCCGTCCCAGTTTTATGCCCTTCAGTTTTCTTTCCATTTGCTCGTTAACGGAGCAAGGACCAGCAGCCCCTGCATCCAGCAGTTTCAGTACTTTGTTTCACTTGGGGTTAGTTTACAGCCGAAGGCTTTTAGGAATAGGGAACATTTGAAAACCAGGGTTTTTCCAGTGTCATCCTTGGAGTTTTAGTTGTATTGTTTAGGAAACATTTGGTATCTATATTGGCAGAATCACGATTTTGCCGTAGAATGATGAAAACAGCTTTTTTTTCCCCTCCAAAGTGAGGATCTTTTACTTGTCTCTTAATCTTGCAGTTTCAGTAATTTCTGTATGATTTTACATAAGCTTTTCTGGAGCGGGCACCCACTTAAAGAGTTCCTTTCAATAGTTTCACCCTAACATATAGAGATGCCACTTGAACAGTTTTACTTTTAAACAGTTAAAAAACCTAATGGTAGGTACCCTTTCATTCCTCTTCCTCAGTCCTAACAATCTCTACAGATCAGGGGACACTTCCTCCCCGCCCCATGAAGAAACAAACTCAGAAGTTAACTGATTGAGATAAGGTCAGATAATATGTGACCATCCGAGCTCACAACCCAAATCTCTTGATAACAAAACCTAACGTTTTGTAAAGTGTCGATTCTTCTATATTTCAAATAGTCTAAGTGTGAAACATTGACCTGGAAACGTGTAAGTTGTGATGTTTCTTGTAAACTTCTGATTATAATATCTTACATATGATACAATTTAGTTGACAAAAGACATAAATTATGACTTGCCTAAGCTGAACAGAGCTGAAATCAGAACTTAGGCTTTTGAACTGTTAGAGTCTGAAAAGTCCTTTAATTCGAATACTGTAGGTAGTAGACATTGGGAACATTCGTTTGAAATCTGCTTTTGTAAGGCCTGATCACTCAGTTTTTGTCTTCTTTTTGTTGCCTACTTTAAAAGTAGTCTGCTGATATTTGAATGTTTTTGTTGTTGTTCAGAGTTGAAACTGGTTGACAGCCATTAACCTGGGTTGCAACTACAGGTGGCACTGGAAGCAGATTGGTTCCTGGACATGCCCGGTGGACGGAGGGGCCCTAGTCGGCAACAGCTAAGCCGTTCAGCTTTACCTTCTTTGCAGACTTTGGTTGGTGGGGGCTGTGGCAGTGGAACAGGCTTGAGAAACAGGTAAAGAAAAAATAAGGCTATGTATAATTTGTAATGTCCTATGATCAGTAAGACTGATATAAAAGTCATCATGCCACTCAGATATTTACTTATTGAGATTTATTCTTAACACTGAGGTAGAAATCCTGCCCTTGAAGACTGAAAATTCAGTATCGCAAAATACTTTAGAGGTAAAAAGATGTGATATTGTGCCCACAGAGTGAAAGCAGTGCCATTCTTTCTTTTGGCTGATAATCTAAATTCTAGTTAGGCTCTATTAGAAGAAGGGAGAAGTGAAGGAAAATAGAAGGCAAAAGTGATGGTTTATCTACACATAAGGTTGTTTTTTATTAAGAGGGCAAATTAAAACTCCCAGCTAAAATTATAAGTCAGATTCCATCATGGGTTTAAAATTGTCAAAAAATTGGTATTAATAAATGGTAGCTGTTTATTAGGGTAACTCATGCCATCAGGAAGTTTGATCATGTAGCAGTGCAAAGAGATGCTTTTACCTAATCAAGTATTTGCCCATGATAATTTCTGCCAGCTAATTTCTCCTTCCTTCCTGAAAAGAGCTTTTCTCTTGACTGGATTTTAATTTTCAGAGCTAGCAATTAGTACTACTCCTGTGTTTTCAGGGCCGTCTAATGGTATTTATGCACTTTTGTTTTCTAGGCCTGACCTTTGCCCTTTTTTTCCTGACTTTCCAATCCCTCTTCTACCCAATCTTTAAAATTAGTTCTGATCTCATCATTTCAGTGGACCTTTTCCTGAAATTCCAGTTTGGAGGGATTTGTTCAGTCTCTGGTTTTCATACTAATTTTTAATCCAAGTTTTGTTTATGTAGGTTTACAGAGTAACTAATTTGTTCTACATTATTTTTCACTCTGTTATTCATTGGATTTCCTTATTTTAAAAGTGGTGATACGATTTGCATCATAGCAGGATGTTGAAAATAAATGAAGTAGTAAATTCCAGTAACTTTAAAAAACTTTATGGAATTTTCCAAAATTTCTACACATAATAAGTATTTTATATATTTTAAAATAAAAAAAAGAATGAGAATATGCAAAAATGCTTTTGAATAAAGTACTATCTAATATAGGTATTGAGATAAAAGTTGTTTGCTATTTGAGGTACATGCCTTAATTTTATTAATACATACTATCAACTTACTGATTCAGTACTTTCAAATTGTGATAGAAAATCCTAGCTGTCCCTAACTAGGATTCTACCTAGCTTAAAAATTCTAGGTTTGCCTCCATATTAATTCCCGCAGTTCTTTGTTCATTCTCTTTGACTTTGAGTATTCCTCTAGATAATTATGTTCTCAAACTGTCCCATGCAGTCCCTCTTTGGTGTCTCCTGGGTTGCTTTAAAAGGGATTAGAAGGGAAAATGGGTCATGCAAACCTAACAGTCTAGGCTTGAGGTTTCTTAGTCTTCTCTTAATCAGACTAACTCTTTTTCCTATGTGTTTTAAATACTAAGATACTATGTAAAATATCTTGGGGGAAGGAAAATAAAGTGTTCTGCTATTAAAAAGAACTGAAAGCCAATGAAAATGTCATTTGTAGATGCTTCTGCTTGCACTTGGAGTCTGCAGGTAGTATACTGAGAAGAAGTAGGAACATTTGGAAAATACCTCTGCTCTTAACTGCCTTCACTATAGCTCTTCTATCCGGGTATTCAAGGTTCCAACCATGGTTGCCTTAATCTACCTTTCTCTCTTCCTTTAACATATGTTTATTTAGCAATTAACTGGGGGGAGTGAGGGATGGGTAGAATAAAGTATTTTCCAACATTGTAAAATGAAAAAAATAATTGTTCATGGTTTGAAAAGCCATCAAGATTATTATTGAGTGATTATTTTGTGACATGTTTACCTAGAGAAATTATTTTGGGAAAAGAAAGCTTTATATTTGTATTCTTGGTGGGAAGCAAGCAGATGGAATAATTTGTTATAAAGGATCTGGGGGAGGCTGGGCCAGTGGCTCACGCCTGTAATCCCAGCACTTTGGGAGGCTGAGGCGAGTGGATCACAAGGTCAGGAGTTCAAGACCAGCCTGGCCAAAATGGTGAAACCCTCTCTCTACTAAAAAAATATGGAAATTAGCTGGGTGAGGTGGTAGGCGCTTATAATCCCAGCTACTGGGGAGGCTGAGACAGGAGAATCATTTAAACCCAGGAGATGGAGGTTGCAGTGAGCTGAGATCGCACCGCTGCATTCCAGCCTGGGCAACAAGAGCAAGACTCCATCACAGGAAAAAAAAAAAAAAAGACCTTGGGAAGAGGTATAAAAACATAAGATTAAAGAACTAGTATGTAGTTTCTAGTATAGTTTTAGGAAGGATATATACAAATAAAGAGAGTGTCCAGATGAGGAGAACTCACTTCTGGAGTGCTGTAGAATATTGAAGGGAAATAGGTAATTGCTTAAGTATTATATACTTTTGGATGATACATTTGATTCTGCAAGATAGACATAGGTCAGCTGGAGCAGAGAGCATTTGCCCCTGTTTGGTAGGTGTTTGTGGTCTAATTGGTAAGGTTAAACTCTAGAATGTCAAAGCGGTAGTTTAGTAACACAATCAAGATTGAAATTGTAGTTCCTAGGCCAGGCACGGTGACTCATGCCTGTAATCCCAGCACTTTGGGACGCCGAGGTGGGCGGATCACCTGAGGTCGGGAGTTTGAGACCAGCCTGATCAACACGGAGAAACCCCGTCTCTATTAAAAATACAAAATTAGCTGGGCGTGGTGGCACATGCCTGTAATCCCAGCTACTCAGGAGGCTGAGGCAGGAGAACCGCTTGAACCCAGGAGGCAGAGATTGTGGTGAGCTGAGATTGTGCCATTGCACTCCAGCCTGGGCAACAAGAGCGAAACTCCTCTCAAAAAAAAGAAAAAAAAAAAAAAGGAAATTGTAGTTCCTTTTCCTGCTTTCCACCTTTGGGGAGTGGGGATTTGTTCTTGCAACAGTGTATTTAGATTATTATCCTTTTGAAAAAGGAAGATATATTGTGTATTTCTGAATTTCTTAGCTTCTGATTGAGGGAGAATCTTATTTGAGAAGAACTGAGTGTTTTTTTCTTTGCTTATTCCTTGCATATACTTTGTTAATAATGTTACCTGAACATGTCCAAATGACCACTGCTTTCTTTGTCTCTTCTGTTCCTCTTTATGCCTTTTAATCTTTATTCCTTTATCCATTTACTTCCCTAAATTCTGCTGCTTGTTGGCTCCATACGAGTCAGTCTCAGGCCTGCTGTGTTAACCCTTTCCCAGACGAAAACTTTACATGCAAGGAAAAAGCACAGGTGTTCAGCATAAACCACATTGTTTATACAGTTTAGGCACAGTGAGCCATTCTTGTTATTTAGGGAAAGTTCATATCACTGTAGGGAACTGTTTACTAGTCAAGGTTCCCAGATGTAAGCCTTGTAAGCAGGCCTTCCTAAGAGTAGCTATGCTGAACACCTGCTTTCCTTTTGAGAGTCTGGAATTTTGGTACTGCTAGGAAGAAGGTGCCCCTGTGGCCCTCCCCCAATAAAAGCCTTGGGCTTTAATGAGCTTTCCTGGGTGAACAGCACTTCACATTTGTTGTCACAGCTCATTGCTAGAGAAATTATATGAGTTCTGAATAGATTCTTAAATCTATTTGTATAGCCTATTAGAGGAATAATACTTTAATTTTTCCTAAATAATACCTCTGTGACTGATTTTTTGAGATATATTGACTGAATCTGTTTCAGTTTCTTTTTTCAGTTTTAAAAACAATCATATCCCTTCTTATGTTTTCAACTTTATAGATCAGATGGAGAAGACGTAATCTCATAGATTCTTTTTATGTAGGAGTACCTTTTTCCTACTGATGCTACAGATCTCGGTTTTTTTTTTTTTTTGTTTGTTTGTGGTTTTTTTGAGACGAAGACTCACACTGTTGTCAGGCTAGAGTGCAGTGGTGCGATCTCTGCTTACTGCAACCTCTGCCTCCCGGGTTCAAGTCATTCTCCTGCCTCAGCCTTCTGAGTAGCTGGGATTACAGGCACGTGCCACCACACCCAGCTAATTTTTGTGTTTTTAGTAGAGAAGGGGTTTCACCATGTTGACTAGGCTGGTCTCGAACTCCTTACCTTGTGGTCCACCTGCCTTAGACTCCCGAAGTACTGGGATTATAGGCGTGAGCCACCATGCTTGGCCAGATCTCATTTTATTTGACCTTTGTCTCTTTGTTTTCTGGCTTGACGTTTAATAGTCAAGGCTGTATAGAGTATGACAAGTGTAGGTCTTTTATACTTTGTTTTGAATACCTTTCTTGAGGCCCAGCATTTTATCGACTTTGTTAATGGTAAAAACGTTTGTCTACTTCACTTGGGAAAAATTCTCTAAGTACCTTTTCAGCCCTAAAGTCATAACAAGTAATTTAGCATGTGTTCCCTCTTAGTGTATTTTTGACTGAAAGGAAATAAGAATTTTTAGTTTGTTCTACAGTAGAGGCTTGTAACCTTATAACTGCTCATAAGAATTTTTAATTTCATAAATCAACTGGAGTGAGGGAATAGATTGGCTGCTTGTTGTAATTATCTTCATGCAAGTCTACCAACTCGTAAACTTCCAAGGCTGCCTTTCATGTTGTATTGTGTGGAATGGTGCCTCCTGGAGGCACATTACAGTTCTGTGGCCCACCTCAAAGACTTTATGATTGAGCAGGTATGTCTGAGACCTACTGGTGGTTCACAATCTATTACTTGGTAGGCTTGCTCTCTTGGAGTATGCTCTGAGAATGTGAAGAAGAAACTTATAATTTTTTCCATACCCTCTTCCCCCAGTTCCTGTTCTTCCCGTCTGGGTCTTCTGAGTTTCTGCCATAGTATTCTTAACCGTTCAGAATGAGCAGAGTTCATATTCCCATGAGTCACTTAAAGTACTGTACTACATACCAATTTCTATATTTGGAAATTTTAGAGTAGAATGGTAACGCTAATATTGTTCCTTCTCTCAAATCTTCTTTGGAAATATCTAGGCCAAGCTTCTTTTCTTTGGTCTGTAAAAAATAATAGACGCTTAGATCTCTAAGTATTCCCAGGAATATAAACAAAGGAAACTTTTCTCCTCCTTCCATCTTATACCTTTAGGCAGCCTTCTGATCTATAAAAGAGCATGGAAGAAAGAACAATAAGAAGATACAGATTAAAATGTGTCTTTTTTTGTGTTTTAAGAGATCTCTCTCTCTCTCTTTTTCGTAACTGTATTGGTCTACTGCCTTCTCAACCTAAAGGTACATATTTGCAGTGAACTAAGAAAAGTATAGTCTCTGTTCTTAAGATTATAGTCTGGTAGGCAAGACATAATGTAGATGTGTGTAAAATATTATGTAACAGTATGAAAAATGCAGTAATAAAAGCATAGTTAGGTATTATGGTGGCACAGAGGAGAGATCAATCAGTTTTGATTGAGAATAAGCTTCACAGAGAATGTGTTTTGAGTAGTTTAAAAATCTTGAAGAGCGAGTAAAAAAAAGTCTTGAAGGATTTTGTCACTATGTATGAATGTGAGAAGTTAAGGTGATTATGGAAGGTGATTATTACATGTAAAGGGAATAACATATGCAAAAGAATAGCATGTATGTTCCAGAAAGCAAATAACATGAGTATCATATAGGGTGCATATGAAGGAGTGATAAGAGGTAAAGCTAGTCTGTTAAGCTGAGGGGTCTCATAGGGCTACTAAAATTTTTTGGCTATTATCCCACTGGTAGTAGAGAGCAGTTAAAGGGTTTTAGGTAAGAATAAGACTATCAGAGTTTTACCTTAGAAAGATCCCTGAAGACAGGTTGGAGGGTTTAGTGAAAGTGGAATTGAGTATAGGAGGATTACTGCAGTAGTTTGGATGAAAATAGTGAATGCTTAAACTAAGGCAAATGAGTTTAAAGACAAAGGTACAGTTTGGACAAAGTTTTATAAAGTGGAGTCTAGGAGATTTAGAGAGTGACTGGATATGGAGAGGCAGAAGAAAAGTTTTTCTGGGGGGGGACAGAGCCTTGCTCTGTCACCCAGGGTGGAGTGCAGTGTCATGATCTCGGCTCACTGCAGCTTTTGCCTCCCAGGTTCAAGTGATTCTCCTGCCTCAGCCTGACAAGTGGCTGGGATTACAAGTGTCTACCACCACGCCCAGCTAATTTTTGTATTTTTAGTAGAGACGAGGTTTTGCCATGTTGGCCAGACTATTCTTGAACTCCTGACCTCGGGTGATCAGCCCATCTTGGCCTCCCAAAATGCTGGGATTACAGGTGTGAGTCACTGCGCCCAGACAATAAAAGTTTTAATATGACTCCCAGGTTTCTGACATGGGCAGCTAACTGGGTGGGCCATGAACTAAGGTCAAAACTGTGAGAGGGAAGAACACAGAGGTGTCTAGTAGGGAGTTGAATAATGGGTCTATAATTTAGCAGTGAGCTCTACAGAGAGAAATTACAGTCTTCATCATGTAGGAAATAACGGAAGCCATAACTACATCTTAGATCACTGGCAGAATGTGTAGAGGGAGAAAAGAAGAGGATCTTAGGATGGAGTCTTGTGGGGGAATGCCTATAGTTAAGGGGTAGATGGAGGAGACAGCAGAAGCCTTTTATGTTTTGTGGCAGTGGAGGTTATCACCGTTTGAGTTAACCGTAGTTTTCTCTTTCAGGAATGGTAGTGCTATTGGCCTTCCAGTCCCGCCTATCACAGCCTTAATCACCCCAGGTCCTGTTCGTCATTGCCAAATTCCTGACTTGCCCGTGGATGGGAGCCTGCTCTTTGAATTCCTTTTTTTCATCTACCTATTGGTTGCTCTTTTCATTCAATATATCAACATTTATAAAACAGTGTGGTGGTATCCTTATAATCATCCTGCTTCTTGTACATCACTGGTAAGTCTTGTTCAGCCGTTAAGTTCTTCATGTTATTTAACCGAGAAACTGTCTGGAAAGCCTTTCTGTAGGAATTATTTTTCTTAGTAATTTTTCATTTAATAAAATGTTTTTCTGCTAGACCACAGATTACTTTCAGAAATAAAATTTCATGATAAGATTGTTAAAATGTAAGTACTACCAGAGGAAGTCAAAATATAAATGAAAATGCAGAAAACATTTAAATAATTTATTATAATAACATCACAGAAAGGTTTTGGTATTTAGCTTTCTCTATACCATTTTAAATTTGTAAGTAGAAGGTGTCAGTGTGATTACATTCTAACAACTCTACCCCTTTAGTGGCTGAATTAGGATAATGGTAGCATCTATTACAAATAAACTCTGAAGGAGTTGTCCTGGTTGCCAAGAGTTCGTCCATGTGGTCAATCAGGGGACCCAGGCTGATGGAGATTCTACTGTCTTCCAACATGTGACCTCCAAGGTGGCTGTGACCAATCTCTGTCAGCTAGAAGAGGAAAGAGCTTAGGGAAATATAAAGGAGAGTTTCTGATGGGCCAGGCTTACATCATTTCCACACATGCCCACTCCTAACTATAAGAGAAGCTAAATATAGTCCTTTAGCTGGGTACATTATGAACCTAAATAAAATTGGGTTCTATCACCCAAATGAAATTGAGATGCAAAATTGGCTGTCTTTGCTGAAGTACATAAAAATATATTGTACTTTTCTTCTTTTCTCTTTCCAGCTACTAAGAGTATCATGATAGTCTTGATGCAAAGAAGTTTCACCATAGATGGGTATATAAAAAAATATTGGTAAGGCCCAGTCATGGTGGTTTCTGCCTATAATCCCAGCACTTTGGGAGGCCAAGGCAGGAGGATTGCTTGAGCCCAGGAGTTTGAGACCAGCCTAGGCATCATAGTGAGACCTTGTCTCTACAAAAAATAAAATTAGCTGGGTGTGGTAGTGCACACCTGTGATCCTAACTTCTCGGGAAGTTGAAGTGGGAGGATTGCCTGAGCCCGGGAGATTGAGACTGTAGTGAGCAAAGATTGTGGCCACTGTACTCCAGCTTGGGTGACAAAATGAGACCCTGTCTCAAAAAATAAAATAAAATAAAAGTATAAGTATATGTATTGTTAAGGCTAGTCAGATTACTTGACAGATTTTTGGCAATGGCATATTTGGTTGGGTGATAGAGATATGCTCTAGGTGAAAGAAGACTGTTTTCCTAAGTAGGTTATATATGTGCTGGGGACTAATAAAAGATTAGAAAGCCTCCCTAGCTTGGTGAACATAGAAAGGAAATGTGGGCTAAAATCCTTAAGATAGTGTGGAAAGAGAATAAAAACTTTTGTCTTAAATATTTGCATCATTTGGTTGTTCCTGGAATTAGCTATTAAAAATTTTCTTGCTATATTAACTTTCTGTCTACTTAATATCAGTGGTAAGAATGTTATTTTCTGTATTGAAAAATTACAATGATTTACTGCCAAATTTAATTTTTTTCATAGTCTTTTTTTTCTTAACTGAATTATGAGCTTATTGAATGTAGTAACTGTACTTCATTCATCCTTTTTGGCCATGGTGTTTTGAAAAGAAGTTGGATTAGATGTTCTTTAAGGCCTTTTCCAGTTATATAGCTCTATAAATAAATACTATCTTAATAGTGTCAATAGCAAATACATATTAAAATATTTAGCAGATTCTTTACAAGTATTATCTCATTTACTCTTTATAAAAATGGGTAGGTACCATTATATGACTCCCATTTTATAAATGAGGAATGTAAGACCTATCAACTGGTTCAAAAATCACATAGTGGCAAAGGGAGTGCCCAAGTCCAGACCAATCTACTGTGCTTTATTTCCTGTTTTTATCCTGTATTTATTCTGTAAGTGCTTCTTGGATAGTTCATTATAAAATTTCTACTTGGTTTGACATTCCCCTGGAAACTTCTCATTTGTTGAATTTTCAAGATCATTGAAGAGTTCTTTGCCCAGTCTAACATGTCTGACTACCATTCTCTAGAAAGTCACCTACAAATATTGCCTTGAAACAGAGGGAGCCAGTATTCTTGTTATAATCAGGAACCTGCTGCTATAGCTGCTGACTC